GAATTTTCATACATTTCAAACTTGAAAATCTGAACAACAGAATAGTCCGAACAATACTCGTAGTAATAAGACTAATTTTGGTGTGAAAACACTTCTGTCAATACATTGTTACACGTAAATACTTCAACCACCTGTGTGAGAGCTGCCCTTGATATTGAAAAGTGTTTTATCCAGTAAATCTATCGTGCTAGCATGTTCATGATTTAGGTTCATGAAACTACGCTCCACATATCTGGAAACCGTTATCTCGTGTTCACGAGAGATGTGAACACAAGATAACGGCGGATGAAGCTGAATAGCCGAAGTGTTTCAAATGCCCCATTTGCACTACATGAGTCAGAACCATCTTTGGTCTCAGCAAGAATGTCTGGCTTGACCTTGGAGGCAGAATTCATCTAGGCTCGTGCAGCTGATCACAGTAACCTCGTTCACATACAGCACAATGGTCTAATTCGAATTGCTTCAGACTGAGAAGTTAGCAAACATTGAATGTGAATGCGCTGGAGGTCTCAAACCACCACTGATGGAGGGAAAGGAAAGAAAAGAAAACCTAAAAACAGAAGAACCCAGATCTCCTTGTCTCGTGCTCTGGAAAACATTAGAAAAAAATAGAAATCCGACACCTAATACTCAAAATACTCAGCTCGGTATTTTGAGAGTCAACAGTGATTTTCACTTCATCAGTTTTTGTCCGCTCTGCAGAAAAAGACTCCCCCCTTGTGACAGCTCTGTTAGGCGGCACTGAAGTGTTTTAAGAGGTGATGAGAGGTTTCGCTGATTTGTTGATCAGTTAGAGGAGTTTGTGCACTTTTTTGTTGAGTAGTCGCTTCATAGTTTCAAATGCACTGCAACGCTAACGTGAGAAAGTTAACCCATCAGAGCTCATCAGAATATGATCGTCTATCTTTGATGGTCTTACTAATGAGGACCTGTCACTTATTAGTGAAGCGCTGTTGTTAAAAGCTACTGAATTTATCAGGGGATATTTTTAGTCATGTGGTTGGTTGTCGACTGAGCCGCTAACGTTAGCATGTTAACAATGCCGGAGTTATCTGGAGTACACAAAGAACTACTTTGTGCACATGTAGATATTTAACATAATAAAAGCTTTTGACCCTCTCGTGAAGATCGGAGATCTACCAAAATCGTTCGATTTATTTTGTTTTAAATGCTCTGCTGAAACAAAACAGAGACCATGTCCACAAACACACGTCAGGCGTCCCTCCCCGTCCCAAAGACAGCGTTGGTGCTGGTGTGGATCCCGCGGTAACATTTGGGTGATTCACAGCTCAATTCTTCATGTTCCATTCCGCTGCCTCGGGTCACGCTGCAGGATTTATATGACGCCATCGAGGTCTTAAACATTTCTTCCTGAAGATGAATGTGACGTTACTGGGCAGCTCACAGTGTTTCTGTTCGGCACCGTGGACAATTTGTGGCGATTTGATTGTCACGGAGGAAATGATTTCAGCAGAACTGAACCACAGAAATCTCAAACACTGAACAAACCCGGCGGGTCACTCAGCACCCGTGTTTGTGTTCCCAAACTGTATTTCTTAGCCGTGTTTATTCTTCTGCGGGTTGAGCTGAAGTGCAATAACCTCCCTTCAGGTCGGCTGATCTCACATGAAGCAGTCGTTCATCATTGTGGTTGTGGAGCAGCCCTCCATGGTAGCCATGGTATGCGTCGTGGTAACTGATCCGGACACCACTAATGTACGCTGAAGATTGCTTCCATATGGGGGCCTGGTTTCAAGCAGCCAGTTTACTTGCGTCTGAAAATCAGCTTCCATTTCATAGTTTGCCCACTTTGAGCGTGCAATGTGAAATAGTTGGACTGGTTTCACACTCGTAACAATAACAACACAGTCCACCTTTTGCCTCTGCAGATAAATCAACAGCAAGTTGCTGAAAAGAAGTAAAATGCAATCGTGTAACACTTAATAGAAGATGATGGTGTTGAAAGGGGAGCAGAAACAATTGATAGAAGATAGAATTCAGGTTATAATCAAAAACCTACACTGATTCCAGCTTCTCTGGACTGCTCTTTTCTTTTGTTTTATGTAAAACCGGTCGAGGACTGTTGGTTGGACCAAACAAAGCGTCGGAAACATCATTTTGTTGAGGTTTTAATCTAAAATCAATTAAGCCCTACACTGAAACAAATTTCTGTAAATTTACGGTGCATTTCTAACGGTATCTTACAGTATGTCATAATAACTGTAACATACAGTTACATTTCCATCCCTTGCTTGTAAATTAACGACCAATGTCATGAATAAACGGTTAAAGCTGTCAATTTACAATAATAGCAGACTACCGTAATTCAACTGCATGTTACATATATTTTAGTGGTGGAAATACACATACAAGTGCAGTGAATCACAATCCATCTAAATCTTTTGTAGGTTAATGTATGGAAGCCCATGTCAGCCACTGAAAAACAGGTCCTGTAAGTCATCATAATAAAATATCTCATCTCAGTATCTCATGAGATATGGTGATGACTTTGACTTACAGGACATTACTATACATGCAGCTGTCACTTTTATCCAAAACGCCCATTGTTTGACATAATTTTATGTGGAGTAATTGGGGGTTAGGTGCCTTGCTCAGTGACACTTCAACTTGGCACAGGGAGCAGCCAGGATTCAAACCGCCAACTTTGAGCTGCACAGAACACCCTCCCTATCCCATGCGCCGCCTTCGCTGTCGTTTCAGTGGCCGGAATGTAAAGATTATAAATATTTGTATTATTCACAGTGTTTACTGCCTAAAAGTCATTTGAGTGTTAATCGTGACCGACTGCTCCTGAACGTGACGTCAGACGCGTAATCTCAGTTCATCCAGAACACCTGTCAGTTCAACATCGGAGGAGTTTCTCATTGCCTCGTCTCTCCAAGTAACGTTGGTAAGTGTTATTTGCCTAGCATGATTAACATTCTCCTTCCTTACATCTTGTTGTCTTCCTCAACTTTGTAATTTTAATATTTTACCAATGACAGTGTTTCTCAATATTTAATTTTGGTTTGTTTTACAGAGGCACTGGATTAAGGACGCCAGCCGTTTGCTGCGGTCAATTGAAAATGTTCCATAGCGTATTGCTGCAGTTAGTTTACCTTGTTCCTAATGATTTTATGATTCATTCTTATTATTGTATACATGCGGCATATTTTATGTTTTGTTCTTGGTTACAAATTCCTATTTTTGTCTTAAAGTCATCTAATAAACTCCAACCACTATGACCGAAATGAGTTTGGTTGTCTTTCTTAAATTTGTGGGGAATTGAATGCAAAAGTATACGGTTATAAGTAAACAGTAACATTATGGTATTTGTAACACAAAAACAGTAATCGTATGGTAACAAACTGTAATCCAATATACGTCAACATACCGTAAATTACGGTAGGGCACTGTAAATAAAACCGTAAGTTACTAGCGTCGACTGCCAGTAAATTGCAGTTGATTCACAGTAAAATTCGTTCAAGTTTACGGTAACATACAGTAATCCACTTTACGGTAACCGTGTAAAAACCATTATCTGTATTATACAGTATTTGTAGGGTATACATATTTATTCATAACTTCAGCTGTAAGTTCGTTCCACATCTTTGAAATCCTTCCTCAATAATCATTCAGGTCTATTCAACATATTTTAGGAGAAAAACTGCAGGATCATCTCATGTTTTCACACCATGAAACAAATTTACAGCTGGTTCAATCTACTTTCCGCATGGAGGGTCACACGGACGTGACCTGGGGGGTCCCAAGTTCTAAGCCGTATTTAATTACCTTATCTGCTTATTTGCTGCAGTCGTTTGAACCCTGAAATGAACAGATGTTGCTATTTTATTGCAATAAACTGATAAGTAGTAGGTAGAAACAACCACATTATAAATAACCTGTTTTCTGAAGAGAGTTTGGATCAGTGGGCTATATTAGCATTGGGGTTGCTCCATCAAGTCAAAATTCTACAATAGAGACATAAATAAAATCTGTATTTCTTGTATCGTCAGGTTGGCGTTTGTATACTTTTAGAGGAGACTGTGTGCTTCCTGCAGTTTGCATGAACACCGTAAAAGCGTAATATCTCTACTCAAGGGCTTTCCCTCCGTCATCTGCATAATACGACAATGACTGCAATATGCCACTTTTACATCATTGTGGCCTTTGAGATGTGTCTGAAGTGTTTTGAACTTGGTTGGTCAGAATAAAGGACTCCTTTCTCTGCATAGTAATTAATGCTCACCAACCCCCCCCCTTTTCCTTTCCTCGAACACTTGCCTCACTTTCCACCCCCTCGGTCCTCAAATGAGCCTCTTATGGAGGTCACTTCTCTCAAGGCGGACTCTTTGACCTCTACGTGTTATAGACTTGAAGGGGCCGGTGCCGCGTGACGTGGAGGCCTATGTGTGTGTGCGTGTGTGGCCCCCGGGGCGCCGACGCACCAAAATCCTTGTTCCACAGTCACCGAGCTCCTGCTGCCACTCCAGCATCTGGCACGGCTTCAGAGGACGACAGCCGCCCGTGGGGCAGCTTCGAGTGGAGGATGTGTCCAGAAGTCCAGCCTCCCGCCACGGTCGGCCCCACGCGTGCATCACTTCCTGGACATAACGTCTCCCTCACCTTTTTCCTTTTGTGCATGTGTGAATTAGCATGCGACGCAGGTGCAACTTGGGACTGAGAGTAAACGGAGGTTAATGGAGGAATGACATGGGCCAGGAGGGGTATTCTTGTCCAGTATCTGCTGACACTGATTAGGCTGCATTTAATCTGCAGTGATTGATTGGCTGGCATTGCAATACTTCATTTACTAATTAATGATATGAAATGAGAGGTCTACATCCATTTGTGGTCTGTTAAAAATGGTTGTCTACAGGGTTAGAGTAGGAAAAGAAATAAATGCTATCACCCAAACCCTCGAAGACAATTTGAGAAACATTTTGCAGTTAATATGCAAAGAAAGAACTAATATTTTACTTAGTAAACAGATAAATGACTCAAATATCCAATTTTAATGCTTTATGCCACAGTAGTAAAAATGACAACTTGGCAATGGCTCCTGTTTGCATGTATGATTCAAATCGTACACATGTGACGTGCACATTCTCCCGTGCCGCCGTGCTGGATGACAACCCAAAAAAAACCTGATTACGCATTCCATTTTTCCACTCCTTGAAAATATTGGGATTTGTGATTACAGACAGTGTAATGTTGATTCACGAGTGGGCGGCCGCACTTCTGCTCATGTGGAACTGCGTTATGAAATACAGTCCTCAACAAAGGGCAAACAGTTACTGACAAAGCAATTTTCTACTCAAGGTCTCCGTAATACATTAAGGGAGGTTTAACTTAACCTCATAGATCATTGTGGGAAAACGGAAGTACATATCACTGCGTGCACGTCGACCATATATGACAAGAATGCAATTACGACGGTGCATAAATAAAAAGCCTCTTCAATGCAATGATGCATTATCACATAAGAAACTTCTAAAGTGGAGAAAAACACCTGAGAATCAATTCACCTTGGCTTCGTCGCTTCGCCTTGTTGAGTTGCCAGGAACAAGAAACGATAAAAGTTCTTCAAAGTTTGATTTAGTGGACAAGGAGGTCAGACGCAGTGCAATAAGTACAAGGACAGTGTGGTTTAAACTCAGTTCTCCGGCACATTGAATGAGGTGGAACAAATAACACAAGGATTAAGTTCTGACTTTTAGCCGTAATATAAAACTGCTCTGATCATTTATTCACAATGGATTGAAGGATTGAGAATAATCATCATCCTCTGCAGTTCCCCTCGGTCTTTAGAGGCTTACAACTGATTCGTGTGATTCATTCTCACCATTGTTATTGTGGATGCTTCTAGCAGCAGCGGTTAAAAACAAATCTACTGGCCCTCACCAGTTTGAATTTTGTTTCATCTCAGAATTATTATGCCGTGCTGCATACGTAACCTGGTGGTGTCACAGTGTACTTGAGTACACTTGATCGCTGCATCAAAGGGAGAAATGTAACCACTATAGCAGAAGGTTTTCATGGGGTGTTTATGAACTATTCAATCAGGCGATATGTCATCTATAATAACCAGTCGCGCTGCCACAAAGTCAGCCAAATGCTTTTGTTTAACTGATTGAGGTGTTTCCATCCACATTTGGTGAACGTTTTAGAAACGTCAGCCTTTCTATACACATACCTATCAGTCATTAACCGTAGAAGTGGAAAATCATAGTCTTTGTTTTATTTCAAAACACCCAGTGTGCTTAAGTACAGCTAAAACTCTGTCCTAATACTGGCGTACGTCTTCCTGTGGCTGCTCTCAAAGTGCCGACTGTTTTGGTGAAATGCAGATCGTGGTTTGGACTGTTTTTTTCCTCGGGGGTTTGTGGTGGCTGAGAACTATACGGCCGGGACTCTCGTCAGACATCCGTCATCTCGTCTTCCATCTCGTCCCCCTCCGCCTCGCCTTCTTCCTCCTCCTCCTCTTCCTCCTCTTCTGATGTCACATCCAGCTCGTGCATCTGAGAGATGCACTTTGGGCACGAGCAGACAAACAGGTAGTTCTCCCTGGGGAGGAAATGTTCGGGCCGGTCAAACACTTTACAATCTGCTGCTTCACGCCAGAACAAATGAGTGTTTAATACGTGTGGTGGGGCCAAAACTTTCATTCAGTGGGTGAAATATGGGGGGGGGGGGGGGGCTCTTAAATATTGGCGTTGACATTCATACACACAGGCCCCACAAGAGCATAACAATGTACGCCGTTTTTATGCTTAGTTCCTGTCGAGTTCAAATAAACATTTTAATTAGGGGTGTTTTTATTTGATCATTTACAGGCGGATTTCTAAACACTATGGAGTGAATCCTCAGAGGGATGACGGATTCTTACCTCAGAACCTTGTGTCTGCTATAGCGGCTTCGGTCCCGCTGACAGCAGTCCAAAAACTGATCGAGATCTCCTGAAAATTGAAGAAAACATAATTGAACTAAACAATTCCAGTTAAGTCCTACGGACACGCTACTGGTATTTTTCAAAAAGGGCAGAAATAATTCAGGTTACGGCCTCATGCAGGAAGTCGCTATGTCCATCTTTCTAATGGTAGCAAACAAAGACTTCCCGTCTCCGGGAGATTTGAAGGAAGAGCAGCACGGCCGCCGTGACATTACTGCGCCGCGCAGACGCAAGGCTTCTCATTCTGTCTGACAGCTTGACAAACCAACCCCAGTCCTCAAAGCCTCAGCCTTCTAATACCAGCTGACAAGGGAGCGCGCAAAAGCCAGAGAGGGATATTCTGTGCCGTCCATGCCGCGCCAGAATTTATCACTGCGAACCCAGATGTGTCAGCTGACCTCTCCTGGGCTGATGTCACTGAGGGCGCTGAGCTGAAGCAGGAAGTTGTTGTCGGGGAAGGACGCCTCCGCGTTGGGTATGCAGCTGTGGTTACCTGCAGGGGTCAGAGAGGAAATAAGATACGTCTCTTGACCGGAGTAACAGCGTCTTGGAAAGGAAGCGACAGAGCCGCACTTACATGAGCTTTGAAGCAGAAACAGTCCAGATCCCTCACAGTTTAGGAAGTCTCCCGTTTCTACGGGGACAAGAGACAAGTGATGCAAATGTCTGACCCGAACATGAGATTACATAATCACAGCAGTGGTATCGGGACAAGCAAGACGATAACAAACACTTTGTCATACAAAGTGTACATTTTGTATCAAGACGATAAACAGTTAACGCGGAAAGATACAAGACTGAAACGAAATGTGTGACCTTTGTCGATGTCCTTGTACAGCTGGTCGATAAAGGAGTCCAACTGCTCCTTCTGCTGGGCAGGAAGCTCAAGTGCATCGCAGGCGTGAACCCACTGACTCAAAGAGCTGAACGGCACAGAGAGAATTACTGCAGCTAAACAAAGACACAGAGTTATAAAACGGAAGGAGAAAAGTGGCAAATGTTTACCTTGTGCCAATGCCTTGTCCATTAGTTCCCACAAGAGCGAACAGGGAGCGGAAACCCTCAGGGACAAACCACTGCAGTCAAATCAGAACGTCACTCATCCATGTGGGAAAATCACAAATTGCATTTGAACACTTAATATCAAGAGGTCAAGGTCCGCTTCCCCTCTTCAGCCGTTTGAAATCAACTTTCCAGATAAACAAACGGCCTGTGTAGTAGTTTTCCTACAACAGCATCACGTATAAACGGCCTTTAAGACTTCTATGACCATAGGATTAGTACAAAATCAGCTTGCAAAACAGAAGTTAAGACATTTTGTACTCTTCACTTTCAAAAGGACCACATTATTCATTTATTTTAAAAGAATGGTTTGAAATCTGCAGTTATTAAGAAGCCAAAGCCAAGCGATGGTCATTCTAGAGGTGCAGATGGGGAACGTTTCAGATAGGCCCAGGATAACTATAAAATGTTTGACACCAGAGCTGTAAATCATTTAGTAAGATTTAAGAGAAGCAAGCAGTGGATATATATATTCTGTCTTACCCGACTAAGATGATCATCATGAAGTGCTGCTTTAAAAAGGCTCTGTAGCAGAACCAGCTGCCCCTACAGGAACAACGGTAGACAAATTAAACAGACGTTTTACATAACAGAAAGAAAAAAAACCCCATCATCAGCACAGAAAGCCACAGTGGGAATAGACGCTCCTACAGGAGGGAGCAACTCTGTCACGCTTTGCTTATTCAGCCATAAACAACTGCGATTAGCATTAGAGCACGACACCGTCTCTGTAATGCCAGACCCTCCTCTGCAATTACATTTCTATCACATTCCATCTGTGACTTATCGCCTTTATGGGACTATTCTTGTAATACAGTTCTTATCTTATGTGTTATATCGGAACTCTGAGTGAGAATTTTTGGAGAGATCCTGAGATGCAAGATTATGATTATACACAACTTTTTACTTGAGCTGATGACAATAAATAACTGCAAACGTTTCACTTATTTTCTTACATAGATTACACACCGACACTTCTGATAACATACAGTACTTTGTTGGACATGCTCTACGTGTGGCTTTAGATTATCATATTCTATGACTTTTCTAGATATGCTATACTACGATTATACATTTTTTATGGCAAACTAAACTAGGACATTTCTCACTTTGCAAACATGTTTCACCTTCTAGTATGACGGGAACTTACTCTGAACTTCTCTCCCAGGAGCTTATGGGCGATCTCCTCTTCTTCATTCCCGGTCCTGCTGCAGAAGTGAGAAAACAGCTTCTGCCAGTGTGCTTTGTCTTTGGCCTGAATGACAAAACGTTAAAATATTAATATCAAATGTCCCTTTCATTTTTTGTAATCTGTATATCTTTGATACAAATGCATCATGTTTCAATGGCTCTCGACTTTAAACAATAATCATAATGAAACTAATGTAGTGTTGACATTTCAAGTTTTTTTGTCATCTTATCCTACTTTAAAGATAGATTAAATCCAAAATAACATTTTTTGGCAAGTTTTGGCTGCAAACACGTCTGCCGCACAATCATTGTATAGTTGAAACTTTTTAGTAAAAAGTACCTTTTTTTTTTTTCATCAGTATCTTTTAGGCGGAGTCTTTTTTCTAACCAGCTGACAGACAATGTCTAATATTAACTCAGTTTTGGTCTGGTGAGGGATACCTGACTCCTGCATTTACCAGCTAGCCGCTAACTGTGTGTCCTTTGGTGATGAGCAGAAAGCACATCTGCTCGCTGCAGGAGAGTTGTGAGAGTGAACAAATACAGTAAAGTTACAGACTATTGACCCAAAACTATTATCTTCAAGGCGGTAAAAAACTGTAGAACGACGGGAAACTTTATAATCTCTTAAATTTATAAAGAGGTTGATCAGAGCAACTTCAAAGCTTTTAAATGAATATGTGTATATATGCATCACACCAGGGTTTGTATACTGTAAGTCAGCTAAGTCTACTAGAAACATCCTCACACCATGGGGTCACCGAAAACCATTGACACATCTGACTGTATTTGTCATGGAAGAGTAGTACGTCCTTTTCCAGATTATGATTAGTACACACTACGATGCAATCACCCAAAACTATTTATACCCATCAATTTCAGAATCAGACACTCACTTGTTTGACAGCAGCTACCATTCTGGCCATTAGCATGATGCTGGAAGTCTCGGGGGGATAATGCATACTCCTGAGGAGAGGACAAATCTTCATTGAGGGAAGTAGTTTTTTTTTAAATGGAAAGATCTGCACACAAAGAGGGTTTGCATTGAAAATCTGCATGAAATTCCCTCTGACCTCCATGCATCTTTGAGCTTGTTGATGGGATGGTCCGGATCGTCCTGGGAGGAACCCAAACACAGAGCTCGATGGTACTGATCTGCTGCAGCTTGTCGACACTCGCTGCTGCAGTACATCACCTACAGAGGAGGACGGTTTTTACCCATCAAAAGACACAGAGCAAATCCCTTCAAGTGACGCAATGTTTGAGAAATGTATCAAAGACTTAATAACCTTCATATATTTATGAAAACATCCAAAAAAGATAATGGGATTTGTAGCAAGAATAGAGGCGAGTAGACAAACCTCCACACACTTTGAATTTGTCTTTACAGATTCTGCACTAAGAGTCCATTTTTCAAATCAATGGTTTTCTATGACTTCAAGGACAAGTGTCGGATGGCATCTCCCTTCAATGCAGTATCAACAGCAACATAATAGTCAAAATACCGAGGCTCCTTTTACCCACTATAAAATTGCCCATATGTCACTTTCTTTGGTCTCATTATGAAAAATGCAAAGAAAAAAGAAAAGCAAGACAAATGCAAATGAAAAGGTGGACTGTCTCTGTACAAACTGTTTCTAAGCGGCTGAATTACATCTGTAAAATTGTCAGCCATAATTGCATCTGTTATACTGTATTGACAATAAGGTTTGCATTTAGTATGTATGTCAAATTTTGCGATTCCACAGAAAGAAAAAAAAAAAGACAAAATCTGACATTTTAATACAATTTTCAAAATGTTTTTAGGTTATACTTTAAAAAAGGAACGTGGTACATTTTCTTCACATTCTGAATTCCCCCAAAACATGTTAATCAAGTTGGATGTCTGTCCTTTTAACGCATTTGCTCTTTAAGTATTTGTTACTGTAATCTTACTTATTGTGCGTTTTCTTGTACTGCATCTTTTGGAATTAAGCGAATACTTACTAGTTATCAGCACAGACGTGAAATACTAAAAACACAACAAAGAAACCGCCAAGGATAAACAGCAGTCTCAGTTATCACTTTAGTTAATACAAAACGATCCAAAGTACCAACACTGGCATGTTCATTGTCTTAAATTGATCCAAACACTTCGTTTACCTTCTGTGAGATACGACAACTTCTAATCTATTCTAATCCATGCAGCGGCGTAGCCGGTTCTCACCAACCTGGCAGTGGGGGCAGGCCTGGTGCAGCTCTGGTCGAACACGGCACAGCTCGGGATAAGGAAGGCTGAGGCCAGGCATCCCGCTGAGTCTCCTGGCATTCTCCTCAGCCGTCTCCAGAGCGCGTAAACAGAACTCACAGGCTGCGAAATGAGAGCGGTGCAAGAGCAGAGCAGATGAGCAGAAGTAAAGCACTGCTGCAGGAAAAAGAAAATCAAAAATATGTATTATTAATGCAACATCAGCGTCATTCCAAGTTATTTAACATATGATGCATTTCCAAAAGGTCCAGGATGGTGTCACAAAACCTTATTCTTGAGCCACGTGTCACATCTGCCTCCCGTCCCGTCTGAACTCTCCAAACTGTTGGCGCTCCATTGACGGCAAAGATGCCAAAAACAAAATGCAGTCTGCCATCACCGCAGGACCCGTGAGCCTCTCGGACCCAGAGGTCAGCGTGCAGGACAGAAAACTCACAAGCTGGCCTCAACCACAAGGCTTCATATCATAGACACCGCGACATAAAGTCTCCTCATCTCTTGGACATATGCTTTAGACCACTGTGAACCAACATGTATTGGACAATATTTTGCACATTTCTGAACAAAACTGTTCTTTTTAAATGGATTCATTCAATATATGAATATTATCGTCATTTTTATAATAGATTTGATTCATGGGTCTAAATTTGGTTATCTTTTAAATGGTGAAAAAACTTTTTCTAAGGTTTGATGTCCAAAATGACGTACGTTGTAAAATAAATGAATAAATAAATTACAGTGTCAACATCTCACCTTTGTATTTATACAAATTATTCCACAGGAACTGAGCAGAGACCAGAGGCCGCTCAAGGAAAATGGCATCTCCCTTCTTGATGCTCTTTTTGGCAAAGAGACCCTTTCCCTGAAACATAAACAAACATTTCTGTTGTGCATTTGCTTTGCTCTTATCCTCCTTCTATCACAGATTTGCATGGTTTATAAGGAGAAGATCCCTGCCACCCTGTCGACAATATGCATTATACGCATTATGTATCAATCACGGCCGGATGGATGGATGGATGGATGCATCGGCAGCATGCAGGAATTACAGAGGAGTGAAGCCACGTGACCTTCTCTCCTGACGTCATTTATTTTAATGCCAATGACATTTTATTGATTTATGTTGATTTGAACCAGCTGCCAGACCAACCTTTCTCTCTGCCCTCCAACTAAAAACATCGTATTAAAACTGAAGCTAAATAAAATTAACGTTATTAGATGTTTTTCCTCGCTATGAAACAATTAAGTTAACTTAACATGCTTCATGCAATTCACACCAGAATAAGTTAAATGGGGTCAAATGGGGGCTGCAGGCTTCGGGTTTAGAGCACGACAGTAGACGAGTTTTGGGATGCCGGCAGATCTATTATCGTCAGATCGGCTCAATAGATCGTTTCGTGAACCAGTGCGGCTCCTCCAGCGCCCCGCGAGCCCATCAAGGCTCTGCTCCGCCCGGCTGCGATGCACGCGGACAGCCGGCACGCGCCCTCCACGTCGCAGATGCGTCGAGACGTCTTGAGCCCGAGCAGCTCTGACGCGCCTTACCTTCAAACTGTTTATAAATCGAACGTCCACGCAGGTGGAGACTTTGCCGGGGTCCACGCAGAAGGAAAACATGTCATCCACGGGAGCCGCCATGTTTCTGTTGACCTTTCCCCTCTGACGTCTTATCTCCGCATTGGCGCGGCAGCGACCTCTGGCGGGCAGCGAGTGGACTGCAGGTCTCTGCGGCTAATTGCCTCGTTAATCCACTGTCGGAGATTCAGAAGAAGAACTATTTCGGGAGCGAAAATAAAAATACCAGAGTACATGGTAATCACCAGCTCCTGAACTGTTAGAAATATAGTCAAGATATCACAAATGTGTTATTAGCCTAGTAAATCATTAATTTGGCCTTCACCGGTCCCAACTGGCTAAACAATACTAAAAGAGGTGCAAATAATTATATAATTATAGTTTCTGTTACTTTGATTTGACTATTCAACATTTTCTGAAATCGAGGGTGAGATTACTTTAAGGTAAAAAACAAACAAACATTGATTAATTTAATAGGTATGGATTCATTCTCTTTTAATAGATTAGCTAATTTATCATTTAGATGTGAAAACCACAGTAGCCAAGACAGCATAATATTTATAATAAATTATAGTGACAATTTAAAAAGGAAAACTACAATACCACTAAATAGCTGTAGCCACATTTACAGCTTATGGGCACGGAAGTGTCTTCAACCAAAAACCAGTGAATGGGGAGAGTATTTATTACATATATTATTTAATAAATAATATAATATAATATAGATAATATAGATAAAGGTTTTACATTGCTCAACTGGCAAACATCTGATAAACGTAAGGAGAACTATTATACAAATAATTACAAATACTATTTCATAATAAGCAGTAGAATATATCGGTTATACTTTTATATTCAAAATACTGTACATACTAAAGCACTAGGCATACAGAAGCAGTTATAGAAAGTATGACATCTCTTTCCAAAGTTAAAAAAGAAAGTTTGTGTAGTGTTATCATAACAAACAGAATGTCCAGAATACAATTCTGTACATTATTTCACATGGTTGAAGTCGTGTTGAACAGTGTGTAAACTGCTCTCTACAGTACGGAGCCCACATTGTCCCATTGACATTTATGGTGCGGCCAGCGACAGAGAGAGCAGCTTCAGATTAGTGCATATGGGTTCTCTTCCTTAACATGATACATAAACATGTTTTATCCAGTGTTTTCCCACAGGCCAAACGTATACTGTGGGGGAAGCTCTGTTTGTCTATCATATTACATAAGAATAGAGCCCTGACACCATGTACATGAGCTTATTGCAGATTTATCAGGATCAGCATGTGTTGACAAGAAATTGTGGTGCAGGAAAGCCAAAGACACGTGGCCATGTTTGTTGTTTTCTGTCCAGCAGGGGGCAGTGACGGGGGTTTTCAGAGCTAACCTCTGAATCACACAGGAAATGGACAATTGTAGATTTAGGGACAATTATCTAATCTTGGGGTTGCACGATTTATCTCCTGGTGCAGCATAAAATTATATTATATTTTTATTTTATTTTCAAATCTTACCCCTAATCTTTGCTCTTTTCCTTGTGAAACAGTAGAATAGTTTCACCTCTTCCGGCATCTAAAAATCTGATTGTATACCTGCAACGAGTGAATAACAGTCACTTAGTTATTTCTTCAATAAGATTAAAAAAGGTTCAAAGGAGATGTGGGCTTTAAATAAAGATAAATTCAATGTCAAACGCTAATTAACCTTGAGAGAGAGAAGCTTTCAAGTTGACAATACTGCCTCCCTTTATTTCCTCACCACCTAACTGTGTGTTTAATAACTTTATCTTTTTAGTTCACTCTCACTCTTCTTATCAGCCAAACATCCAGGTTCGATTCTGAAACCCCTGTGCACCACCTCATCAAACCAGCGGTAAGAGCGAGAAAAAGAGCCATTAAAAGTCTATTATTGCTTGAACCCTTTTCATTAAATGAAAAGCAGCCATGTGTAGGAACTTCATCAATGCTAAAAAAAAACCTGGTTTAACAGTAAATATATCCTTATTTATATATATATATATATCTATACACAGAGCTTCTTCTTTTATAACCCTGCACTCAATAATTGCTATGATCTTTGAGCGTTGAATAAAAAGCAACCCTGTGTTAGTATTGAGGATCTACAGGCTGGCGGCTCCTGAACCGACAGCCGTAGACAATGGACCCTCATTTCCATCCTCGTTCCCCTTTGTTCGCGCTCTCCTCTCTCCTTCACCACGGCGTCCATCATAAACCCTTGTTGTAGGTCAACACTTTGCAATCTGTTGCCATGGCGATCTCCGGCTCCAGGGAAGACACCTCGATCTGCAGCAACAACAACAACAAGCACAGAGATTGAAAGATCAGAATTGTAGCTCCACGTCGCTCCAACGTCGAGCTTTGGAAATCATCTTGACTTTTAACTACAGATGGGAAGAGGCATCTGGAATAAGAGCAGAACACAAGCTCTCGCGTCGGGGCTGTGCATGTCAAGTGGTGTATGTGTAATTTGAATTTTTCTCCAGCTGCTCCCTCTTTTGCAGCCATCTGGCCTCGGGTGAGCAGTGGGAGCGGTTGGAGGTACCTGAGACATCTGGGGGAACAGGCTGATGGCCACGGGCAGAGAGAGGCCGAAGGTAACCAGGCACACGAGGCTGTGGACGGGAAGCAGTAACCGCCGGTTGCTCTGCAGGAATCGCAGCCTGCACAAGCCACGGTAGTAAAGAAAGCAACCGTGAGCACGCGTTGTGGATCGATCCCCGGACGGTTACTATTTTTGGATCCGGAGAAAAAGACACGTGCAGAACTGACAGAGGTGTCTTCCATAATTAGTGGGTGTGAGATTAATCTTTCTGGGAGCAAGTTGCAGATCCCAATTTAATGAGTCGGACTGCCCTTAAAAATCTACTGTGTATCATACATTTTTTTTATTATTTCTCTTTGCATTTTCTCTGATTTCTACTGAAGGAATACATGAGAAGCACTTTGGGGCAGAACACAAGTCCACGCTGGCTCAGTGGACAAAAAAACATGCAGATTATTTATAGACCAGAATCAAGCAGACAATCAGCCCAATAGAGACAGACAGCCATGACGAACAATAAAGAAAAGGCCCAACAATCATCAAGATCAATTTAAACAGATGTACAAATGTAATGTTGTAATTTGAGTATTTTTAGAATGATTATTTTACAGGCTGACATCGGTGCAATCTTAAAGAACTATAAAACCTTTAAACCTTTCTAATGTCACACTACTAAGCTACTCCTCTTAACAAATGTAGTTATTTAATTAATATGTAGTTGTGTCACCTTCATCACGGGTTTAGTCTCATCTCACAATTTTCTTTTTTTTCCGTTTTAGGACAGAATAAAATCAAATGCTTCATTAACTACCTTTTAGTCTCTGACCTAGTTTTAAAGAATGTTTATCATGTTGGCCCAAACTGGGGATTGGGACCCCGCAAAGTGTCGCGAGATTGATCCGAGGGGGTCGCCAGATGTGGTGAGAACAATTACTGAATTAGTGAATCATTTACTGATTCTAGTCAGGCCTCTAAAAATTATTCTAATGAGCACTGATTGCTTGGTTACCAGAAAATTGGAGAACTATTGATGTGTTTTCATGCTGATTAATCTTTCATTAATGCAGCATAACAAGTAACTTTTACCTGAATAACAATAACTTTTTTTTAAATGTCAGCAATCTTTTTATGAAATAGAATTTTTTTTTTAATTTCTCAAAAGGTAAATATTTTCATACATAGAACTTCTTTGGATTTGCCACAAAACAAGAAGAAATACAAATTTAGGAAGTCAATCTTTTTCCATTTTACCATCGATTTCAGAAAATAACGAACAATGAAAACAAATGTCGCTAACAACCCTAGTGATCTGCCACCTATATGCGTATCTCCATACAAACCTCTCTAGGTAGGACATGATGATGGGGGGCAGGACAAAGATCGGCATCGGGAGGACCACGCGCGTGAAGGCGGTCTCGGTGATCGCCTGGGGGAAAAGACGAGAACATTGTGCACGCGCTTCATTGCAAATACTGCAATGAGTTGGATTTAATTGTTTCTTTGATGGGATCAGATGTGTGCAGAGTGACAGGAGCCGAGCAGGAAACTATACATTTTCCCACCATCAGCTTCCAACACAGCCAGCGAGTCTAAAAACATATTCAGTGCAGTCGAGTAAAAACTAGCTGAGAATGCAAAGGAAAAAAACACGCACGTGTCTTGCAGCAATTTTGGAGGAACCCACAACGTTCCCGTTGTCATCCAGCACATCAATTCCTTCAGATAGCTCACTGTGTCTCATCAGGCCCACGTTACAGATGTTTGCACTAGCTGACAGCGGGGAGAGAAAGGCGGCCTTTAGGATTTATTACATTTCCAAATGTGCTGAAGACCAGAAAGAAGAAATTCATTTAGAAATGCTTGTATGAATACACTTAAAAATACGAGTATCAGAACAATCTACAAAGTCTAAACTTTAATTGATTTACGTAGATAATTGTCTCGTTCTTAACATCGAAGGAAATCGGAGTGCAACCTCGGTGCAATGTTTGGACTGTGGCCACTAGAGGGCCACACGAAGACGACGGGTCCAAACGTACCTACAGCTGGGAAGGGGACCAGTCTCTGAATTATCATTCTGGTGGCAGGACTCAGCCTGTTGGCCTTCTGAATAAGCACATTCAGCCCCACCTGGTAAACACAAAAACACTTTGAAAAAAGAAAAGCAACATCCAAAAAGATACACGTTTTCTATCGAAACCAACTGGTCAAAATGAGACATGCTTTAAATACTGCTGTAAAGCAAAATATTCTTTATATTCTTTACTATTTGTAGTACTACTAGTGTAAAACACAAGAACTGTACAGATAAAATCGTCTCACACATGGATATTACCGGTATAGCCGGTACCCTTAATGGCGCTGTATATAAAAAACATTCCAAAACACCATCGCAGCTTCTTCTGCGTGTTGCGGAAATAAAACAGCTCTCGACCTCAATGTGCAGGTAAAAACCCCAAAGAGCAAATCAAATCGAACAAGAAGCCCACTCACTGCAATTGAAACCGCGCTGGTCACGGCCCCCACGTAGCCTTGAAGAAACTCGGATGTTGGCGTCGGCTGAGAAGGGAGAAAACAAATACTGTGTCACGTCTTTATTCATTGTTTAGTAGTTCACATTGGTTAATGTCTTTAACGTATATAGCAGTAAGACTTGTCCAGGGGTGACGGTTCCCACCTTGGTGGCATTGCGGTTTGCAAAATTCACACAAGCATTGTGACTCTGGTTCAGCCACTGTAGGAAAGAAGGAAGGAGAAGAAATAAGGGATCAAAAAAGGAAGGAAATAAGGAGGATGGATGGGAAGGAAGGAAGGAAGGAAAGGGCCAGACAAAGACAGCGAAACAAAAGACAGGCAGAGTGAGGATAGATAGACAGATAGATATTTACAAGCTTATAAAGCAAACGCTTGCAAAAATGTTCTTATTCCAGTGTGTTACATCTGTTAAGTGTGCACTTGCCAGATGTTCAAAACGTACAATAAATGCAATGGTTTTCATGTCTCTACAGTACCTGCCATATAATGGTGGACACCACAGTCTGATTTGGAAGCAGAAGGCCAATGACCTAGATGAGACCGGGGAATAAGAGCTCATTTTTGGGGCAAAATAAGTCCAAAGTCTTATTTCATCTGTCCCCAAACACGACCATGTGAACGGACATCTGCACGGCCGCTACATTTTAAATGTATGATATTTCATGTGAGACTTACAATCGGGGTTCCAAATGGTACATAACCTGCACAGCGAAGAAATGATGTTCAGTGTAAAAAAAAAGAAAAAATAGAAATGAGGACAAAATGGAAGGAACTCTAGCAAAGATCTTCATCTGAGGTCGTACCTGACATTCGAAATGGCATGAAGATCTTCTCTCCTGTGTCGGGATGAATGATGGCCTGCGTGCAGAGAGCACGGCGTGAGGAGAGCGTCCTAGAGCGGCCCGAATGCACGGAGGCGCTGATAACATACCGGCCCACTTACAAGCATCCCGGACGAATCACTTACCTGCTTGATCTTCTGGGCTTCCCACAGCTGCACAAGGGAGCAGAGAAGTATGCTTTGGCTTTATGTGGTTTACATGGATTCTTCACATCTGGTTGCGTGTTCAGTTGCAGCCACAACCATCGAACGAATACTCGCCTGAAGGTCGGACACTCCGGGGGGGAGCTCGCCATGTTTGTAGTCATCAAGCAGTTTCACGCATTCTTTCAATCGTTTCTGAACACAAATACGAGGCTGTGTGAGGCTGTGTGAGGCTGGGAAAGCCTTTAAAAATATTAAACGTATTTTTCTGCAAACCCAGAAAGGAGACCGTGTTACCAAATGATAATGCTGAAACGATCAGTTGTCCACAATACATTTGAAAGGGTTGCTTGTCAATTTATTGTTTACGTGTTGTTGTTTTTTAATCTGTCTAAAATTCCAAAATGGCATCTTGTGCAGAAACCCGAAAATGTTAAATTAGTACTTTACAATTGTTTAAAGATGTTTGAAGCAGCTGTATTAGAAACACATGGATTGTTGTTGTTGTTACCTCGGACACAAACAGGGTGCTGGGATCGATGACGTCTATGAAGTGTCTCAGTCGGCCGAGGAATGAACCCTTGAGGAGACAGAACAAGTCAGAACCCTCCCGTCTGTGGAGGGATCACTGACGGAGTGGAACAGGATTCAGCGCTGCTCACTTTGCTTTCATTTTCACGTCACATTTAAACATGCTGCTCTCTTGTTTTAAAAAAGGCACTTATGTATTAATGTATTCATTCAATATCCGTAGCAATAATCCCAACATTTCCCCACCTCACTTATCATGTGCAATATGTGACATATATTATGTGTTACCTTTCTGATAAAGGACCCTCCACCCCTCTAAACCTTTCCCCTCCTTTCACAATCCACTAACAGCACTCAGGACTACTGATTAACATCCCCTTTGTTCAGAACTTGTCTTTTTAAACTGTAAATAATAGTGCACATTACCACCTTATGTAAAGTTTAATATTCAATATATTTTTTATTATAGTGTGACAATTATTTTTTTCAAAAGCGTAAAACGACTGCTGCGTGTTTAAATTCCCACGCATGACTCCTAGCTTCCTTTCTTCATTCACTAGTCGAGAGTCCAGACTCAATAGTAAAAAAGACCTTTGACTTTAGATTTCTCTTCTCAGTATCTTGTTCCCAAAGGTCAACAATGTGCATCCACAAATATTTGCTATGTCAATGAGAGATGATGAAGCAGATGCCACCATGGGGAAAAAATAAAGTACTAAATCAAAACACCACCAATTATGAAAAGCAACTGAACAATCGAAACAAATTACGACCGAGACGTAAAAGTGCTTTTAACCATATGCACTAATCTTGAGGGAAGTTTACACATTCTTCCCAGTGAGGCTCGTAGCTGCTGGTCAAGCGTTCCCTCTTCTTCATCAGCGTGCCAATCGCTAACGAGGCCGGCCACCGGTCTGAAAAGGCCCCGCGGCAATTTATGCCAAGAGTCTTTTTGGCAAAAACACGGCAGCTTCAATCAGATTTCCTCGGGGACCTTAATCAGTTCTGAAGGGCAGAAAACACAGCGGAGAGACAGAGGAACAAACCCTTCTGGATTTGAATGATCTGCTCGGCGTCGAGTCCTAATCGAGATGACTGGAAACCGAACCCTGTCCCCCCCCCCGAAGGCTGAAAATAAACCGTCTCCTGCTGCACTGCAACCCTGGACGTTTTCTGTGTCACATATCATCTCCTCCTCCGACGCTGCAGTGCTGTTTTGTGAGGGACGGGTAGACCGGGGATCCGTGTGAGGAGACGGCCTTCAATTATTCATGAGCTTCAGCGCCCCCCCCCCCCCCCCCCGGGAAAGGGAACACAACGAGGCAAGCGCACTAACCAAACTGAGGAATGCTGATTCCAACGCTGGCCTAATTCCAACTGCTTCAAGGCAAAGCGCTGAAAGTGTTACAGCACCTTCATCCGCCCAGCAGGAATGTACGGTTCCACTTGGGGCCGGAAACCAAGAACGAACGACAATCTTTCTTAAAGTGATGGCGATCGCACTGAAAACAAGCAGTCGCTTCAAACTGGGGCACAGAAGGTTATTGACCCCCCGGGGGCCGGAATCAACATGGAAGAGAAGCAGATTTCCTGTCGTCTGTCGTGCCTTTGAGTGTACTTTTTATTACATGATGACATCTTGTCTTTAGAGTTGCACTGATTGCTCATTCCAGCCGCAACAACAACAGACCAACAAGTTTAGACTTATTCACAGTGTCTGTTCATGGACCTCATTCACCTTCTTTACGGCGCTATCGGATAAATGGCCCCGAATGAAGAATGTAACCGGCCCCCCTCCGTTATTAACGTGAGGTCCTTTCAGGGATGAACCATGCGAATTCATTTCTGAGTGAGGAACAGGGAATTAAGAGGCTCCCGGTGAGGGGGGGGGACAGTCCATTCACCTGGACCACGATCCTTCTGCTGAGAGCACGAGGAGAGGAAGGAGGAGAACTTCAGGGTGCGGGATTTACGTGGAAACGAATGATGCGCGCGGGTTTGGAGATCGGCTCAGAAATCACGATCTTTAATCGTAAAAAAAAAAAAAAAAACACACCCCGCGCAGAGAGTCATAAATCACTTCACGGTTGTTTTCCGGTTTCGGAACGAAGAAGCGGACCACAGATCAAAGGCAACTTTGGCTACAAAGTAAGAGCATCCGGAGCCGGAGTGGCGCGAGGAGGAGGAAGAGGAGGAAGAGGAGGATGGGGGGCGGACAAACAGCATGTCATCGTTTGTCCGGACAGGACTTACCTGCTCGTATCGGGGTCTCCCGAGCTGGAAGGCTGGACATGCTGCGGATTCCGCCATGACACGGAACTACTTCTTTATTAATGAACGGGAGGGAACTCCATCGGGTGTGTAACTAGTGAGCCCGCGGTGCATCCCGGGATTTGTAGTCGTCTCGTTTGCGTCCACGCTAGCACAGTTGCAGCGCATGACTACACATCCCAAAAGAATCGATAAAGGGGAAAGCTATTGCATAACTGTGAGGATTGATATTGGAGACGGGGGGGGGGGGGCGATGGGGGCGATGGGGGCCTGAACGGAATATCGACCAGGCTTCTGTCAGATGTAACCTGGAGCGAAATAAAATAAATACTAATCCCCACACTGGGCGCTTACATTTTGCTCTGATCATCAAGTGCCCGAGGGCAAAATAAAGCTTTTTCTTTATTTGTGATTATACGAAAATAAAACTAAAGAGAGGAGACATAGACTAACACAAGATGCACAGGAGGGTTTAAGACCAGTATTGCAATAACTAATCTATGCTTTAATGCATTGTAACACACCTAGTTGACTTAGTGTTGTATTGAGTTTATGATCATTTATAAAAAATATATATTTCCCATTTTATCAATGACATCCATTCCACTAAAGGAATCCTAGGGGTGAATCTACCATAGCATGGTGTCAGGCCCAAAAGCAGAATGATGAACAGAAAAAGGCCGCCTTTATTTATCTGGCTGGGGAATGGTCGGTACACCAAGTAAAGGGAGACGCAGACTACGAGACACGTGAGGGTAATGGGAAACAGGTGGACACAATCAGGAATCAGGGGAGACGATTCGACTGGTGACACATGGGGGGGCAAGTGACCTGAAATGAAAGAGGGGCTAATCTTTCAGAATAAGACAGGAAACGGAGACGAGAAAACCCCAACTAAATCTCACCGCGGTGTGACACATGGGAGCTTGCCCTCTGCATGACCCAACACGTGTATAACCCCATTTTTTTATGGTCTTTCTGAGGTGGCATTTAGAGAGCGCTCATATTACGTTCATTACTTGAGTTCACACATTAATGTTATAGATATGACATATACATTAACTATTGATCAGTGAGAAAGAAAAAGATACATATAGTTGGTAAAAGAAAGGTTATACTATATAGCAATGAAAAGAAATGCTAGCATTGGTCAAAAAAAAGGCATTCTCTACTTTGACAAAAAAGATTCTAGTTGAAGTGTTTGAAGCACTGCAACAGAGTGAACACCAGAGCAACCTTTGACCCCTTCAGGCCCAAAGGGAGAAGGAGCAGACCACTGCGGGTCAGGGAGGAGGAGAATGGGATCAAACCAATAAATCAATAATTATAGAGAGTTGTATTACGGTACTACAAAGACCTTTATCTATTCTACCATATTTTTTGGATCGCACATATTCCTGAAGGTTTTTAGTATATTTTTAAAGATTATTTATGTTTAAAAGGACCAGGAAGGAATCAGGAATCAGGAATCAGGAAACATTTATTAGCCAAAATATGTCAAACATACAAGGAATTTGTCTTGGCGGTTAGTGCGCGACAGTAGACAGACAAGACAACAGTGCACAGGTAATAAAATAAAGTGGAATGAAATGCTAATGCAATGGGTTAGTAAGAATAAGGCTAAGGCTATGGGTTAGTATAAAACAGGGGAATAAAGTTAAACAAATTTTAAATATTAAAAAGTTGAAAAATATTAAGCATAAAGTGCACTAACAAACAAGTAACAGACAAGAGACAAAGTGACAAGTGACAAAGTGATGAATTGCAGTTAAAGTGGCATGTGCAGTGTGAGGGGGAGTGACCGGTGGAGTGTTATAGTCAGGCAGTGGGGGACCGGGCTCTGTTGATGAGCCCGACTGCCGACGGGAAGAAACTGTTCGTGTGGCGGGAGGTCTTAGTCCTGATGGACCTCAGCCTCCTGCCAGATGGAAGGGGCACAAACAGTTTTTGTCCGGGGTGAGAGGGGTCGGCCGCGATCTTTTTAGCTCGCTTCAGAGACCTGGAAGCGAACAAGTCCTCCAGGGACGGCAGATTGCAGCCGATCACCCTCTCTGCAGAGCGGATGACACGCTGAAGCCTGCCCGCAGAGAATATACAAAGAATATTTGTATATTGTATTTGAACGTTTGTAAGAGTGACTTCTCACTAACTCCGACCAAGTTAACTACTCAGGCAACAGCACTCGATAAAATATTTGAACCCAGTTAACGCAACTTTGTTTAAGTCTTCCGAAAGTAACCAAAATTGACCCTGGAAACGAAACCGCCACCAGCTGCAGTAAGTTAGATCGGAGAAAGCGAGACGCATTGGAAGTAAAACAAACAGACGCTCGACATACAGCGGAGAACTGTGCAGAGGATTTCCTCCACGTGTCAAACAGAAGGGGGGTGAGTGGCAAACAGACCACTTAAAACACTGCTATTCTAAACTAGCTGCTAGGCTAAGCTAGCTGCTATTCTAAGCTAGCTGCTAGGCTACGCTAGCTGCTATTCTAAGCTAGCTGCTAGGCTACTTGCATCTCAACATCTAACGTCACCCTGCGCAAAACTCCTGGCTAAATGTCGGCAGATTGATGGCACTTCAAATACAGCCGTCAAATAATTGTTAAGAGTTGAGAGGACAACAAAGTGCACGAGGACAGCAGGGAGAGTCGCTAGTTCAACATATTCCAAGTGTTAGTCGCGATTAAGGAATTTCAAAACGTGTGATTAATTAGTAAATTGTTCGTCTTGTTAATCTATTGACAGCCTTATTTTTTAAGGTATTTGAAATTTCTATTTATCGGAAATTACTGTCAGCTGACAGGGAGTAAACATTAACTAAAGCTGTTGCCCCTTTCAACCCACTGAAAGAGCCAAAATGGAGCATGAGCAAAGAGACCTCAAAATATGAATGAACCTGGACTTGAGCACGCTAGGTGTCTTTTGATATTTTAAATGATTTGTTGTTGGTTACGATTACTGGGATCTATCAATTAACATTCTGTGACACTCTTTCCATCTTTCTTTGTCTGAAATATTTTTACTACATAACAGACATCCACCGATCCAGCAGCATCTCGTGGGGGCGGTGAGGAGAGTGTCACCGGGGATCAAGCGGATCCATGTCAGTGTGCCGACACTGTGGAGAAACCGCACTGCTGCGCCTCAACCTCCTCCGAGCATGTCGGAGGAGGCCCGTCCACCTGTGAGCAGTTTGGGAGTTTCAGTAAAAGAAGCAGTGTGACGACTCATCAGTGGATTCACACTGTGAAGCCCTTCATCTGTGACCAATGTGGGAGGAGTTTTCGCCAGTATTCATCTTGGTCGAATCATCAAAGCATTCACACTGAAAAATGAAGTGTGGCCTGTGAGTCTCTGGAGTAAAGCGTTAGCCTGGATTGTTTGCAAGTTCACATTCAAATTAAAATGTTTATTCTGAATACAACTTCAGTTGTCATTTATTATAATGAATGCTTTACACTATTAAGGTACAGCAGCTAATACACAACCCACAAAACACTCATACAAGTAAAAGTCCTGCATTAAAAATTGGACTTAAAGAGATTTAAACAGAACATTCATGTTGAGTTGATGCTGGTGGTCCCTGTGGACTAAAGGGACTAAACGTTTTTGAGCACCAGCTGGGGTTTGAGCTGAAGAAACTTTTTAGGGCACACACCCCCTTCTACATCCTGACCTCATTCATGCAACCCCAATCCCCAATAAAAAATTAAAAAATAAACCGAACAAAGGGGCAACTGCAACATTGTATCATATTAATCCCGAATCGGAACAAACAAACTACAGGTGGGGAAATGCCTTGAAACAATGCAGCAACGTTTGGCTCGACTGCTGTAAGTTGGGGACAGAATTGAAATCCAAAGGAAAACTTGTGGTCTTCGATCACCCAACGCTATCTCCAGAAAATCAAATCGGAGATTAAATGTCTTTGAGAAAGCCAAGGTCAGAAGCTTTCCACCCAAACTGTGCAGTAGAGAGCGCCCCCTGCTGGAGAGACACGAGCAGTGCGGCTGCATTTCACACATTCCCATCATGAGGCTGTTTAGTTTCTGTGTCAGCGACAAACCAACGAGACAAAGACCTCACAAACTTTGGCTCATGTTCGCTTTATTTTCATACAGTACAGTGGTCATGTAAAGCATTGCAAGTGGCTACATTGATACTACAGTGGCAACTGAGAATATATTATAACTCATAATAATCGTATGTATTGCATTGATAATGTTACCTCTATGAAATGTTACTTGCTGTACACAGGAAATGCAGAATGGACAGAAAACATTTTTTCAGATCGTTGTTTAACAAGGACATGAAAATAATACAAAGAAACAAGATACAAATCTTTATCCTGATTAGTCTTTTTAAGGCTCAAATGCAAATAGTGTTTTTTGTTTATCATAGAAGGATGTTAAGCAGCGCAGAATCTTATGACAAGTTGCTATTTTTTGGACTATTTGTTCAATTCTAATTGAAAATATGCAATTAACTCAAGCTAACCTTTACATTTCATAACAGTTTGAGATTAAAACCGTGAGTCAAAACTTATGTTTTTTGCATTTTGACACATGCAATTTCAGGAGTTACTTGAGCTAGCAGCATATTTTTTTATTTTATGCACGTGTGAAAGCATTGAGTGTAAAGTTTAAATTACAACTTAAACAGCTGACTACCATTACTTTTTCTACAAAGCACTAGTAAAATAATAATTTGGCTTTCAAAGAAGCGCTTATTTATTCTGCTTTCTGTTTGTGCCAAATTGGCCTAGTAACCAGCATGCATGTTGGGTAATATTGTGTCTACATCAACAAGGCAGTATTAGCATGAATGGGAAGACCTGGATGATCGTGGTCGTGGGATCCGATTTTGTGGAGCGTTAGTTGGACCTCAACAATCTTAAATAATAACATTATCCTCCATCACACACCTTGTGCCGCACACACTCGTCACTTGTGTCTATTGCGAACTTGAAGCAGCGTTGGCGTCTGCTCCATGATCCGCAGTAAGAGGTTGTCGATGTAGTCCTCCAGGTCTCGGACCTGTAACTTGACCTTTTTCAGCTCCGCCTCACACTTGTGCATCTGCGCTGTCTGCCGCTCGGAGGCCGCCGCCTGCTTCTGCAGGTCCATTTCCTTCTGCAGGAGCAGCGAGATCAGCTCCATGTTGGTCAGGTGCTGGTACTGGGCCGAGTGGTCCACCGGCACCTCCTACGAGACAGCGAACGGAACCGCACACATTTATTATAGTGCGAGTGCTTTCATCATTATTACGTCAATAGCGTTATCTACATAACTCCGTTAACAACAGAGTTTACAAAGTGCCTTTCACTGACAGAGCAAACACAATTTGATAAAACAGTGTCAACAATAGATGAAACTATAAAAACAATTAGAACAATAAGCGGAGAAGTTCAATCCTATGTGATTTATATTTTTTTCACTGAAAAATACCTTTGTGTCTAATGGTGTTTCAACACCACCAAAGACACTTTTAATTAAAGATCACGAAAAAGCAGGTAATATTTATGGGCTATTCTAGACGCATTAGTAATATTAGATGTGTTCTTGTTTCTGCGTACCGGACTCCTCTCAGGTTCGGCTGCCACCTGGTGGCCGCCGCGTCCAGGGTTGATGGTGGACCTCAGCTTCTCCAGAACCGAGCGACCGTCCTTCTTCTCCAATTGACTGGAGGTCAGCGGCTTCACTGGATGGGTTCTGCAAAGTAAAGTCGTCAGCACTCGTATTTGAACACACTATGGTCCAATTAGGCGCAGAACCACGAGCTACTCTTGTATGGTATGGCGGTTCTTACGGACTTCTCACTTCAAAGCAGATCAGAAAATGTAAAGGAATCCGTGAAAAGAGCAGTGAGCAACGAAGAGGCAAAACTTCTCTGAGCATCAATATCAGCAGCCATATCTGTCGAGTAAGTGCAGTGATTTACTCGCCACTGGAGGAGGAAATGGTCTCGGGGTCACAGGGTTCACAGAGAGGTAAAGTTTAAAAACAAAAAGTCTGCATAGCAACCAAGATTAAAAGCCACTCTGTGATCACAGAAGAAAGAAGAGCTGCGTTTCTCTTGTTTGTTTGGTTGTTGATCATTAAAGTGATTACATTAAAATGAATAAATAAGTGACTTTATGGTCCTTTGTCTGTAATTTTTTTCAAAGTCAACAAAGATGATTAAAGCATGAATATTCTAAATATGAAGACTCCTCATCGGTATCTGCTGTAAATAAAATATGAACAAAAGTATTGTGCATACAGGGCCTCACAGGGAACACAAATGATTTGTTTCCTGGGACTGATTCACGGCATCATCATCATCAAAAAAAAAAAAAACAGCACGAAAAACTGAATAATGGGATGAATAACATAAATGTGAAGCAAAGCCAAGAGCAACCCAGCAGGTATCATCCAACCACGTTGGATGTAACAAACAGAACTAATAACATGCATTCAACATCCAGCCGGGCCAGCAGTAAAAAAAGCGAATGTGTTTGTAGCGTATGTGGAGACCTACGGCTTGTCAGAGCGCCACGCGTGGGGTTCTCACCTGCTCTCCTGACGGGGCAGGCTGCAGGCGGGCTGAGTCTCCTCAGGCGAAAGTGAGTGCCGTGCATCGACTGGGGGCCGGTCAGTGGTGGAGCTGGTGGAGTAAGAGGTGTAGGGGGCCACAGCCAGAGTGGTGCTGGGCCCCGTGTTCGAGGGGTGCGAGGAGGGGCAACAGACAGGGGTAAGGTGGAGCCCAGCCGGCGGGTCTGCCGACAGGGGGAGCGCGCGCGGGACGGAGGAGAAGGAGGAGGCTTCCTGCAAAGATTGCCCAATCTTTGACTTTGACGGGGTTCTCGGGTTCGGTGCCACCTGAGCGTGAAGCTCTTCAAAAGCTGTTGGGTTGTCTTTTGAAGACGCTAGTGGTGTCGCAGTGGGATCGTCGGGATTTGTGGGGATATCTGCCAGTGCCACTGAGGAAGGGAAAGCTGATTTGGAGGGCTGGTACGACAGCGGCCCCTCACTGGATCCTGAAAGGTTTTGAACGAGGGACAGGAACTGCTCCAGCTCTCTGTCTCCACCCTTGCTTTGGTGGCTCGGGCTGCCGCTGCTGTTCTGTCGGGACACTCCTTTTGGTCTGAAACGTGCACTCACCACACCAGGAAAGGTCTCCTTTGGGTTCAGTGGTCCTGTTTTAGCCTGCGTGTTTCCATTATCATCAAAGTCATTTTGTGTCTTAATAAAATCCCTTACAGTCCTGGATAAAACTTCACGGGTTTCAGCGTCTTTATCAGAGGTTTGACTTTGTTCCGAAAAAGCAGCCATCTCTCTGCTGTTCAACCCGGGTTTACCGCGTTGGACCACGTTATTCAGTTCACTGTATTCCTTGCAAACTGGAGAGAATTGGTACAGTTTGTTGGATGAAGCAGTTATTTCAAAGGAAGAGTTCATCTCAGGAATGTAGGTGTCCTTCAAAGTGAACACATCCGGAGGTGTGGTCGCCGCCTCGACGCGGTAAGCAGCTACCTGTGAAGCTTCTGTGGGTTGTGGGAAGGTCCCGCCAAAACTCATGGTGCCTTTGAGAGTGTCAACTACCTCTGACTGAGAGGAGCCGTCCGAATCAATGAAACCAAAATCTGAATTGTTAACATTCATGTTCAGATCTCCTAACATTGATGAGGAAGACGCATTATTGTTGATGCACGTGGTTTCAGAGGGATAGAACTCCACCTCCTCTGCAGGAGCGGTTGTAATGTCAAGTGCTTCTGGCTTTATGGAAGCAGTTGATGGAATGTTTGAAATATCTGCTCCAATTGTCTCACTATTAACAAGTACCTTTGGTCCTAAGTTCACAGATGTGTTTGTCTCTTCACCGCTCAGCGACAAACGATTAACTTTGGGTCGTCGGTAGTTTCCTCTGCACGTGCGTCCATACAGGTCTTGCTCAAACAACGTCCCTCCCCAGCGGTCCGTTTCATCCTCCAAAGGTTCATACTTGAACTTTTTGAGCTTCTCTTCGCCCACGAATCCCTCCTTCGCGTGCGGCTGAGAGGCGGCGCTGAGCGAGTCGGAGGCCTCGCTGCCGGTGTGAGGGTCTGGAGACGCGACGTTTCTCTTGTTTTCTCCCTCTCTTCCACGTTGCAGCGAGGCCACTCCGGTCTGCGAGAGCAGGTAGGCTTCTTTATGGACAGCCAGCTCCTGACCCCTGTGCAGCCAGCCGTCAGAGGAAATCTCGTTCACTGAAGCCCGGAGAAGTTTCCGCGGAGGCAAAGGCGGAGGCTCCTCTTCGCACGTTTGCAGCTCTTGCGCAGGATTATTTGTGCCGCTGCCAACCGGAAGATAGCTATGTCTGTGAGACGGGGTTGGAGTGGTTCTCGGCTGCGTCTGAGGAGGTCTCCCTTTAGGGGAGTTGAGCCTGCTGGAGGCAAAGGCGTCGAACGAATCGTCCGACTCTTCCTGCGCTCTCTGACATGGAGCGAGGTGCGGAGGGACGAAGCGAGGCTGCTTCGGGTAATATCGCAGGGAGGGATATCTGCCTAGCTACTGGCCTTGGGCGCTCCCGCCTCATGTGAGCCACGTTTGTAGCTTTCACACCGCGAGCAGGGCTGGACGCGCAGGGCCGGGAAAGCAGAGTGGTGTAATGAAATGGGGATGAGCCGAATGGGGGGGACCTCTGGGACTCTTCCGCTATGAGATCCTCAAAAAAGGGGTTGCGCTGCGCACGCGAAGGGAAAAGGTTGGCGGGGGAGATTGCGGTAGAGGAGGGGGAGTTGGAGGGTGTGAAGGGATTGGTGTGATTGCAGTCGTGAGGTGAGACATGACCGGAGGTGGAGGCAGGAGGAGGGGAGAACTGGGAGGGTAAGGGGGAGCGAGGGGGGAGGGGAGGGGGTGCGTCTGAGCTGCTTTCTACCTTAGGAGAAACTTCCAGCCTGTAGAGGAAAACAGGGCACAATAGTCTTCTTAGTATGTGCCGTGTTACCAAATGGGGAACAACTTTTTGGGAAAAAACAGACATCAGAAAAATGGGGTGACATTTCTGTTACCTAAAAAACTTTCTATCGTCAGCAGACATCAAACTGCCCGGATGAAAGAATCATGAAAACAGGAACTTAAATTAAAAAAAGGCCGAGCTCATTTGCAAAATAATCAAGCAAAACAAATAAAATGCATTGTAGCCATTCAGGATCATCTGCACTGGCAGCTAACCAGCTTTTTTTTTTAAACCACCGTGATGTTGCATCCTTGATAAAGTATGTAAAGATGATGGAGATGCTCGAGTGCCATTTGTGTAAAATATAGTGTGAGATAATGAAATGGTGAGTAAACCAATTTTCTGATGAGCATGAAGCAGAGCAAACACGGACCTCAGGACACGCGGCTGAGCGCCGGCCTCTCGCGAGCCAGGATCCTGTGCCGGGGTTAGAAAGTGCGTCCAAACGCTGTGGAGCCCCAACAAAAGCCTGTAAGCAAACTCACCTCGGCTTGTTCTGAGATTCCCCGGAGCCGAACCAGCCTTTGAGCCTCCCCTCAGATGTCGAGGCAGCCTGGTTCAGGTCGGACTTAGCTGGCAGAGAATCACTCCTCCCTCCGGAGAATAACGTCTTTCTCAGCTTCCTCCCTATGTCGGGTGAAACCGCGGCAGGTGAGACGACCGGCATCTCCGCCTGCACGGGGCGACCCCCTCCCCGGATCGGAGGCGACGCAGCCTGAGCTTCCTTTTCTTCCTCCTTTTCCTCTTTCCTTATCTTGTCAAAGGACCAGCGTCGTCCCTCGGCGGTGGAACCTCTGTCCTTGGTGAGGTTCTGCAGGGATCGAGAGAGAGGGGAGCACTTCCCCAGCAGGGCCAGCTTGGACTGGTGGGCCGCCGAGGTCTTTGGAGTCGACGGCTCGGAGTTGTAGACGTGGCTGCCGTTGATGCACAAGGAAGACTTGGACTGAGTCATGGTCGGGCCTTTCAGGGACTCCACTGCCAGATTCGATCGAGGGATGGCTGTCGTGATCTTACTGGCTTCATCGCTGAAGGCTCGCTTGTGTGTGAGGATCTTTGTGGTGTGCTGGCTGGTGAGCACTGATGGGAGGAGGAATAAATGCATTATGGAAAACAAAACTCACGAAACTCAAAAGTCACGTACCTTCATGTCACGCAGACATACATAATGCCATGGCCTACCTTTTTTAGCTAAATCTGTCTCTCCGTAATGGGTGTCCACCCTCACTTTGCTAGTGTAGATGGGTGAGCTGGGAGGGTCTGACATCAGATCCAGGCTGGGCGGGGGGCCGGGGGTCTCACTGGCCATGGAGGACACGCTACTCTCTGAAGCCAGGGACGAGCATGACCTGGTGTCGGGCGACTTACGCAGCCTCCCTTTGAAGAAATCTTTCACCTTGCTCCTCTTCTCCTCCGTCACCTCCGGGTCTCGCGCCTCCGCCGGTCCGCCGCCGCCCCCCTCCTGACCAAACGGCTGACCCGGGGTTCCGGACAGGGCGGCGTAGCGGCCGGGCAAAATGGCCGAGGAGGACTCCACGTCGCCCCTCTTCCTCCCCGTGACGCGGTCCTTGAGCTTGCCAAAGGCGGAGCGCGATTTGTCCTTTATGGTGAGGTCGAACATGCTGGCGGTCATGTTGTTGCGAGTGAACTGGACGGTGACCTGAAGTTCCCCGCGTTCCTTGGCCTTTCTGCCCGCCTTCGAGTTAAGCTTGAACCACCTGGAGGCACAAAGGAAAAGGGACTGTGGATCTTTATCACTGCTTTAAATAAACGCGTCGCTGAAGAGTGGCGTGTTTGCACGTCAGAGGTTGAATGTGTTTTCTGGCCTTGCAGGGACTAAACAATCCCGCACAAAAAAAAACATTGATTTCCTCTTGGCAAACCTTTCCACGCATTACATAATCTGAAAATACTGCTTATGGGTTTTCACCCGACTGTTTTTCCACGAGGTAAGAGACAAAACTGTACCAAGGGTCAACCTATGAAATTCTCCTGCTAAATTCTTGGAGTGGACCAGAGAAAGTGTTTCAGAGCCAAAACTAACAGCAGGAATTCAGTGAGTTTCACTGAGCGGCGCAGAGAGGGCGGAGAGCCCACAATTGAAGCCAGATGTGCTGTTTTGCTTTTGAGGGGAGTCCTGTTGAGTCACCTGTCAAATACTCACAGTCAGGCAAATTGGAAGGACTCCGAGCTATTTTCAAGATGCTCCGCAGCAAATAAGTAACTTACAGTATGTAAACTGCACTCACATTCTAACTCACTCACTAAGCCACAAAGAACAGACACAACTACACATTTTCTACCATAGTTCATTATCATGGGCATGCCTTGCATATTTTTTATGTTTTCACTTTCCGGCAGTTTTCAAAGCTCAATGTGCTGAAGAATCAGTCACTCCTCCATACATCCATGTTCTATTTATATCAGGGTGTTGATACCTAATTTAATTATCCCTTTATCTTTATCAACAACATTAAAATGATCCACATGAATGCACCATCAATTCTAATCCAAATTCTAAAACGGCACATTTTGCATAATGACAGCTTTTACTTTTGGTACTTCGGGTTTATTTAATGCTTCTATGGACTGTTCTTTAAGTAAACAAGTGAATAAGTGTGGTATTGATACTTGTATTTAAATAAAAGATATCCAATTACATGTTTCACTCGGGTCTGTCCAACACATCACATCACTACAGTGCAGTAGTGAAGAAAATGGAGGACTTGCATTGTGCTTAAATATGGAAGCTTTCTGGCTGCAATCACTTGTTCCACAGTGGAAACAGCAACTCGTCTTGATGATTTGCATTGCATTGTGGGAAACACAGCCTAGAGGACAAGCATTTAATGAGCCTATAGTTGCATTTATGGTTCAAGCTTTGTTGTGCAAGTCTCATTCTATCTTTCATCAGCTGTTGTGTTAGTAATCATAATGAACTTATCTAATCAGGAGAAAAATCATGAGAAATATATTTTAAATGAAGAATTGAAGTTACTTGTCATCCTCATGTGAATTTGACCAAATAAACTAACTATATCCAGTAGTGGATGCAGTATGGAAGAATATTTACTCATGTGTTGTGTTTAACAACTTACCGTAACATACTTGTACATTACTTAATCATTTTCATTTCATGCTACTTAATAACTCTCCACTGCATTTAGAGCCAATATTGTATAATCCATCTAACAGCTATTTGTTACTCTGCAAATTTTGATTATAACATGAAATACAATGAACTCATGAATCGTGATGGGTTATACAAATCAAATCACTGCAGTCTAAAGTAGTTTAAATGAACTAGCTGCAACAGTAAGGATGTTTGCATAATTATTATCCATTTGTGTGATTATGGGAGGTGCCATTCTGCATAAAGTGTACTTTACTTTTCACTGGTTTAAGTATCTGTATTTCTACACTGTGGTATTGTTGCTTTTACATGAGGGCTTTGTCTGAAACCAATGAGCCATCACTTCTATCAGGCGTGTGAGTGCAGTACACTGTGCATGTGGCTCATGGTTTGTCATGCAGCTTCATCGCAATGCAAACACAACGTACTCATCTCGAGGGCACGTCCCCTCATGGAATATCTTGTCCAGAGGAATGACGGTTTGACCGAGAAACACGTCAAGCCCGATAAGCACCCGGTGCATGACCGTGAGGACCAGGTCCCCGCTCCCCGGGGGGTAAGCGCCGCGGCCGCCATCCTCCAGGATCCCGGGGAGCAGCTCGAAGCAGCACTCCTCATTCCACTCGGGCACCGCCGCCTTCTCCACCAGCCCGGTGGTGTACTTCTCCTTCCCCACCTGGATGGTGGTGTAGAGGTAGCGGCTGCCGTGCGTGCCCTTGGTGCGCAGTGCCCGTGCGCGCAGGACGGTGATGTTGACATGCGTGGGCACCCACCGCTGATCGTCGTCCAGGTCTATCAGTGACATCATCCTGCACAGCGGGGAGGGGGGTCCTGTCTGCGCGTCCTCTATTGATCGTAGTATATTACGCAGAGCCCTCAGATCATCTGGAGATCACCTCCCGGACACCGCCCGCTGGATTGCACCACAGTTTCCGTGCTGCGCCAAAAAAAAGGAAAACGCCTCTGCAGGATATCTCCAAAGTGTGAGTCTGAGTCTGACGGGGTGTCAGCGGGGTCAGCGCGTCAGATGGAGGCGGCGGGTTCTGCGTCATGGTCTGCGGGACGTACCCGGATCCGATCGATCAACCAAACGACCGGAACCGTCGCCAGAGGACTCGTGGTGCATGTCGCATCAGTTAGTTTACCGTCCGAGAGCGCGGAGCGCAGCGTGCACGGCGCAACGTGCACGGCGCGGGGGGAGGACGCGCATTCACAGCAGCGTGTCCTCGTGCCGAGCGGCAGGACGTAGCTGACCGGAAACGTCCGTGAAAATGATTGGATGACATCCTTCATTATTCGTTGTTGCCGAGAAGTATTGTCTCAAACGAACTCGAAAAAAATTAAAAATAAATAAAAATAAAAAAATAAAAATATATATATATATATAAAACGAGAAGATGTTGAATTATCATATGTTGTAAAATGATAAGATAATTCAGAACGGATTTATTGTAATTTATACTCATCAATAATTATTTTGTTTACACACGTTGAGGTGCACGAGCACTCGTGGACAGACCAGCACATTGACATGAAATGAAACAAGAGATTTTACTGATGAACTTCACCGGGTCGCTGTCATTGTTTTAGCTACACCGCCACCTGGTGGAGACGAGCGAGACTTCAGGGTGAGAAGAATGAGCTGAAAAGAGAGCATCGACTTCAAAAACATATGAAAGACCAGGTGGAGGTGACGTGAGATTGTGTCTTTTGTATGGGTTGAAAAAGGAAGAATATGCATTTCTATATTGTAATATTACATCATGTCCGTTTTGTTTCCATTTGGTATTTGCTTATTCCACTTCAGTCAGTAATTACATTCATTTATATATATTGTTTAACAACAATAAAAACAAAATGTCAGGGATTGCGGGAGGTAGGACTCAGACGCAGAGTTCAAAAACAAAAGGGACTTTTAATAGTCAAAAGCAAAAACAAAAGGCCAAGGGGCAAAAACACACAGGAAACAGGGGGGAAAACAGCAGGCAGGAAACTATGAACATCCACGACGATTGACAAGGACATGCGTGGCCAAAGACAATGACGCGACAAGTGACAACAGACACACATGGTTTAAATACACAAGGGAGGTGCAGGTGATTGGACACAGGTGGAAACTATTAGACGATCACAGGGGATGACGGGACAAGGCAGGAAGTGAAGTTACCCGGGGACACGAGTGGCAGAAAACTACAAAATACAACAGGAAGTGAACCACACCGTGACACAAAATCGAGAATGTTTACTGTTCACATGGCAATTACAACAGTAGATCATCATCAATGTAAGCTTTCAGCTTCAGTGCTTCTTTTATTCATTATAAATAAAAACAAAACAATAGAAGCTATTAGATTTGTAGAAATCCTATTGATGTTTCACAGTGTTGATTACAGCCACTTTGATGGAGTAAATACAAATAAATGCTCACATTCGGAACAGCAACACAACGACAGAATCCCACTGTTTAAGGTTTCTGTGGCACTTTTCTACTTGGCTTTTTAAGAGACGTGGTAACACCTTCACACAATACTGTACTTTATATTACACATTTACACAGCACTGTTGACGTGGCAAATTTAACTATTAAATCCGGTACATTCAAAACGTAGAAAACGGTGGCATGAAGTGAAGTGATCGAGTACCAAATATCATAAATACAAAGTCAAAGAATACAAGCGGTTCAATTCTAAAAGACTCCTCAGTGTCGGGCAGCTTCAGCCACAATGAGATGCGTAAAAGTGCAAATAAGAAAGAAGTGCTCGATTTTTCTTGGGTCAACAGATGATTATTTAGAAGGATTGTTGTCTGTCATTGTAAATAAGACAGAGACAACCCACGTTGTGGTGACATGACTGATAACACAAAACACCAGCACTTTATACTGTGGTGGTCTTGAATCAAGTTTAAGGCAATATTATATGGCAACATTTATTCATCCTGAGTCAAAAAGTCTTCCCACCGATAAGATAAATACATGTAGGTAGAATGCAACACATTTATCTTTCAGCGGAAGAACTTTTGCGTCAAGATGAATAATCTGCAAAGAAAGTGCATAAATTAGCATAAAATAGAAACTGTCTTCTTGTTGTTTCCCACTATTTTCTGTTTCTGCATCATAAGCTTAACATTGCTGACATATGCAGCATTTAAGAAAAAAAAAGCGCTTATATTTCTATTGAACTGTTAATACCAAACACTTTTTCTGTAATACAAACTACGTCTTCTTTTTTTCTCAAATCAGACTTTTTTCCCCCGGGGGAGCCTAATCATTGCAGATACTTAATGTTCTTCTCTTTCTAAAACGAGCCATCCGAATATACTCACATTTATTTAACAAAAAAAAAAAATGGGGATGAAAAGTGCAAGACTACAGGTAACAAAACACAACTTTCTCCTGTTGAAGAGTTGCACTTAAAAGGTGCTTCGCCGATGACGCACAATTTGGTGTAAAAAATATGACATGCTACTTTGTGTGATGTGATGAAGTGTCAGTGACGAGTCTCCAGCTCGGTAACATTAGCACAAGTAGATTCCTGATTAGCTTCACGAGGAAGAAATAAACAACTGGGACTCTCAAAGACACAAAACCAAAGAATTCAAAGTGACAAAACTGCTCAAACTATCAAACCATAGAAAAAGACTCAAATGAAAATGAAAAAATACTGAAGACACCTTGAGATTAAAATTGTAGGTATAAAAATGGCGAAAGAGCCACAAACTATTCAGAGGGACTGAACGCTTAAACGTCATCTGGAATGTTTTCTTCACTCCGTAAAGTGACAGGTCACGGTCGGCGTTTTGGGGTATTCTGCTGTACAGCTACACGTCCTGCTTTCAGTCTCCAGTTCCCGCCGTCCCTTCAGTCCGACTGGCCCTTCAGGTACGGCTCGTCCTGCGACAGGTGCCCGTCGAAGGCGTCCATGTAGAGGCTGCTGGTGCTGCTGCCGCTGCTGCCCAGGAACGTGCCCACCGCGCGGCCCTGGCGGGCGTGACCCACGGCGTCGCTGAACACCTTGTTGATCTGCTCCTCCGACGGCATCCACCAGTCCGGGTTGGAGGCACAGTGCATCCGGATGAACTCTGGGGGAGGAAAAAAAAGAAGAAAAAAAAAGTGAAGAATCTTCAAATCAAACCGAGATCAAAAATGGCAACGCAAACTTTGACCTGTATACTAGAGTACCCGACGGGGGGCTTTTTGTTTTTTTATTTGTGATGATAAAACATCCCTGTCTTATTACTATCCACTTAACTGGAGGTGACATTTGCATGAAAAAGGTAATAATGCTGACTGATTTTTCACAGATTTCGTGCAAACAACTGTTCTGCCCTTCGAAGTGTTAGAACATATATTTTTATAATATTTGAAATGACAGTGTGACATTGTGTAACCGATAGAGAAGCCGAGCGCCTCTTCTTGAATTAGACCTCATAGTAAGTTTCAGCTTATTATTTAAGCTGTCTGGCCCTCGTCGCTCTGCTCTCACACGGTTGTTTTAGGTCGCGCCCTGCAGCAACTTTCAGAGGAAAAAGCTTCAGAAACCGTCGAGCACCGAGCAGCAGACGCACACAGTTATCTGGGGAACAGAGACGAGCATTTAGAAGCTAGAGAGCCAGACGTTTCCCTCAGGATGCAGTGGAGCCAAAAACGGAGTTAAAAGAAGAGTGAATGTTAAAGTAAGTTATCAGGTGCACACACGCAAACACAACTATGAACAAATTAAATGTGTATCTGCTTAATATATCAACTAAAAAAGTGATGACATCCAAATGTTCACAACTTGTTTCTGCTGCCTCCAGGTAGTTGGAGGGTTAAAATAATACATTGTGAGGCAGTTTATAGTGGAAATGAGCAGAATCCGATTGGTAATATGTTGAACATTTCTCTCCTATCTAATAAACAGACTAAGGAATATTCACATTAACCACAATACATAATATTTGGTTCACTTCTGCTTGTCATGTGAACATGAATACGAATCTCTCCTGCTGCTTTTCAAATCTGAAACATGGCCTGTAAAAGATTCAGTGCTCCAAAAGGAGGCACTAGATGAATTAAACAACGCTGACATTTTCACAAGTAGACATTTCGCCAGAGCTTCTGGCTGCAGGAGAACCGCAGGAGCTCTACTAGTGTTTCAGTTCCCAGCGTTTCAATAACGATGCATCACTTTAATTTGGGCTGACCGAAGCGCGATGCAAACGGCGATGACTCGACAGACGTCTTCTCTCTCTTCTCTCGTACCTCTGAGGCAGCTGACTTTGACGGGGTTCAGCGGTCGTCTCTCCAGGCCGGGATCTCCCGAGTGGACCGAGCGCTTCCTTTTTCCCAAACCGCAGGAGAACTTCAGCTCGTCCGTGGTGAAGATGAAGCGGATCAGGTAGCGCAGCAACCGCCGGCCATCTTTCTTGGAGGAGTTGACGGCCTCGTCCCACTGCTTGTTGGAGATGAAGAGAGGATAGTTCTCCAGCAGCTGTTTGCTGCCCTGCAGGGGAGCATTGGAATCAACAATTATTATTATTATTATTATTATTATTATACTTCTTTTAGGGTGTACAGCTGCATCTAGTGCCAATTTAACTGATATGCCGGCACGTCCTGTTTTCAGACCAACAAATGCAAATGTCTTTATATTCTTTATAATCTTAAAAACACAGATTTATTTCATTAAAAGCACAGACCTCAAAGACAGTTTGCCGTTCTTCTTCCTGCGCGGACAGAGTTGTAAAAATACATTTATTACAAAACGTTCACACAACTTAAAAAAAGCACAATTAACACAATGACAGTTAGTTATTTTGGATGGATGAGATGTGATGCTTTCACACGCTGCTGATCACACATCCTTTCAAAGCTGTAAATAATGCACAGCAGCGCGAGTCCTCACCTCGGTGAGCTGCTCCTCCGGCATCGGCTGGACCAGCTGGTTGTGGAACTCCAGAACAGTCTTGAAGTAGTCGAGGACATTTTGACAGGGAGCTGACCGGAAATAAAAACACACAACCCATCTGGTTAATTTAACAACAATGATCCAGCAAAGGGGAGATATAATTAGATATTTTAGTGAAAAGTAGGTCGAGGGGACACCAGGGTGCGCAGAATGCTTTTGGGAGAGCGGGAAAATGAACAAAAATAGATGCTAATAAAACTGATGTATTTAGAGAGGTGGAACATTTGGCTTTCTGAAAGGGATCACACACAAACACTTAGTTTATCGAGCTCTAATGTTGATGCGAACACACGGACGTGATTCCGAAGTGGTTGATGCATCAGTGTGAATAAAAGTAAATTAATATATTTCCGTATAAAAAAATATGACCAATGAAGAAAGAGCTTCAATTAATTGTTAGAAATGAAATAATTGATTAATTAATCAATAGTCACAAAATCAGCAATTTCTTAAAAACTGCAGCCTTGAAAGTGGTGTGGCTCTGCGTTTGAATGTTGATCCACCATCTAGGCCAAAACATCTGAAATAAACTATGATGCATGATTATCCTTATTATTGTTTTCTTATTAATCATTCATGATGTTTGCTCCATGAATGTTCCAAAATAGAAACTGATGCTTCCTTTTTCAATATTCATTAGGTTACCCAGTCAAGTTTCAAGTCTCCAGCCCTGAATGAAACCATCTGGGACTCTTACTTTTAACACTGTGCTGTATTACTTACACATACAAGTAAGTAAAAATAAGGTACAATGCTCCCGTATCACACACTCTGCCCCGACATTAACACATATCAGAAGAACAGAGTTGGACTTTCCTTAAATTTGTCCCTATTGTGTATCACTCCTTCGACCCATCCCAAAGAATGGACTCAAACCCTGTGAAGCCTTATATGTCTTCCGCGTGCACCTGGGACATTCTCCAGCTTGTTGCGCAGCTCCTCGTTCTCCTGCTGCAGAGACAGCACCTCCTGCTCCAACTCCAGGCAGCGTGGGCAGCAGCTCTCCTCTTCCTCCTCCTCCTCCTCATCCTCCTCGGGCAGCGTGGACGACGGGTGGCCGTAGGACTCTGACGGCGCCGGCGAGCCCCAGCCGGCCAGGTGGTGCCTCGGAGGAGACGCCCCCGAGCCGGGCTCTGCGGACGGAGACGGCTCATCGTCCGGGCCGCCGGCAGCCAGATGTCGCCGCTGCCGAGGCCCCGAGAGCAGGTAGTTCTGTAGGGAGTCCGTGAAGATGCGGAGAACGGCGGAGGTCTGTTGTTGGTTCAAATGGCTTTGTTTGGCCTCGTCTTCCGGGTCCGTGGTGGAGGAGCTCTCTGCAGGTTTGGACAGCGAGGAGCAGTGGAGCCCGTGCACCTCCCCCGGCCCGCCTTCCAGCTTGATGTTGGACGTGAGGGAAGAGGAAGAGGAGGAAGAGGAGGGCTCCAGGAGACGGCCGTTGTTGAGGAGGCTGAGGACTCGGCTGCACTGCTGAGCGAAGGCGTCCAGGATGAGGCGGTTCTCTACAGCGTGGAGGAGACACCAAGAGGTCAAAGACAGTCATCGCCTTTACGATCAATCGAGACCGTTGGGTTCAGACGGATTATTCTGAGAGTCACGGCTCATTTTTGATCCCGGAAACAGCAGTTTCAAAATAATCCCACCACTGTTCATTTGGCAGATGTTTTAAAACCTTTGACCACATCATTGCTGTAAAAAAAAACGTTCTACACTTCCAGTGAACAAAGTCATTCTGTTGATGAAGGCAAAAGCTCCATCATTCAGCCTCTGTGACCACACAATGATACACGAGCAGCATGTTACTGTTGTAACATTTAGATGATGATAGTTTGTACTTCACAAACCGCAATGCCTATTTTGTACCGTTTTCAGATTTCTGCTTTGACATTCTTGATCATTTGACGTCTCGACATTGAAGACTTCTCAACAATTAAGTCAGAGGTTTGGAGGCTAAATGTGTCTTTTGTGGATCTACTGACAATACATCTGAAATAGGACCAGGGCCCTTAACTGAACATTACATTATATCTCGTCTAGCTGACGCTTTTATCCAAAGCGAGATATATCTTGATTATAGGGGTCAAGAGCCGAAGAAATCTAGACCTGGAAGGTTGTAAATTCAGCCGTGAAAAACATGTAGTGGTTTAACAACAAAAGAAAGAAGCGGTTCCTCCAAAGTCAAGTAGCATAATACTGATGAAACACAATGAAGTTTTCCACAGGAAGCTTACGGAAACAAAGCGAGGGATTCTGTGTTTAGTGTCTCTGGCTGTGGTTCTTTTATGCCTCCCTTTTCTCTCGTTCTAGGCCAATCCTTCCACATACAGTAGGCCCCTCTGCTCATAGAAATGTCAGCTTGATTATGCTAAATTATTCAGATGTCAATAAACTCTGAAGACACAGAATCTGCTGTGACCAAACCCAGCCGAGCAAAAGGAAATCAGCACGCAGCTATTGTCCAGAAAGCAGCCCTCAGCGTACAGTTTCCCTGGTAGTCTGGGCACGTCTGAGTGAGATGATCTCACACATACCTCCATGTAATGATTATGAGTCCAGTGTCCTCACACACACACACACACACACATAAATATACAGACAGACAAAATGAGTTCTAGGCTGCCACTGCTGCGTTGCAACTCGCTCAGACGTATCTATCAGCCCGGCGCAGATGTGTCGCATTTATTAATATGCGTGCCGTCTCTGTTTACCCGTCGAGATGTATCTGATATCATTTGCCTTCATCCTGCAAGCCCCCCCCCCCCACACCCTCCTACCCGCCACCCTACTCTCCTCTCTCACCAGTTCTGTGGATGTGCGAGCTGAGAGCCTCATCAAATTTCATTAAAACAACACGCTCGGCAGAGGCAAATTTATGAGTCCCATTTATTTTAATCACAACTCTTTGGGAACGGATTTTCAATGTAATTTGCGTTATTGTGTGCCAAAGCGGCCGCTCAGTCCAGAGGTCCGTCTCCCTTCTTGAGGAGGGTATCAAGTTTTTGTTATTTTCCTTTTCAGCCATGAGAGGGGTGTTAAGTTCCTGCCGTGATGCAGATTGAGAGCACTATGATGTGGCATAATCAGTGAGAATGCACGGCTAGTTTAGCTGGGATTAGATTGAGCATGTGCGTAAAAATGAGCTGAGAACTGTTTTTGTGTGGTTATTTCATTTATCTGGATCTGGATGGTGTGTATGTAACAATGGGTCAGAAAGACTGAACTCTGGGCTTTAAACTAAGAGAGAATCTGTGAATCTGCTCACTCACATATTGAAGTGGGTTAAAGATGCTTCATTTTAGATCAAACAAATGATACTTCACGCGCACATTTCCCACAACAGCTGGACTTTAAAGAGGTTAACATCTGATTGGATAGATGTATACTGTATAATTTCAGAACTAGCAGGATTAGGTTCATTGCTTTCATCTGGGTTCCCGGGGACGCGCCCTCCACACGGGGAACACATTTCTTACCGCGGCTGCACAGCCCAGTAATGAACCGCAGCTGAGGAGAGAAATTAGCACAGAACAATGTGTTTCAACCAGAGGGCCCTTCTTGCACACTCACACATAGGGCACACAAGTCAACACACACACACACACACACACACACACAATTATCCAATGTCATTTCAGCACATGCACACAGGAGATTCAATCACAACCGCTCTCATTACAGCAGCAAATCAATCACTGCTGACAGGAAGAAAAAGAGGAAGAAATGGGGACAAAAACATCACGCTCAATTGAACAAAGGAGATGCCCGCTTTTCATTTTTTTGTGTTCCATTCAAGTTGTTTGATTCGGTGGAGGCGTGTTAGATAAACACACACCAGCATCACAACACCGAAGGACGTGCAGCTCAGAAAAGTCTCCTCATCCCAAATCCAAACGAATAAAAAGTAGCTTTAGAGATGGAGCGCACCTGCACACATGGAGCAGGAGTCACCGGCGTCACTCTGAGCAAGTTTGAAAACCCACCTGCGCTGATGCCGTAGGTGCAGTCCGGGGAGAACCGCGGCTCCGCTGCGCCGCTGCGCCGCTGCGGGGCACCGGGAGATGCCGCCGCCGCCGCCGAGGTGGATGTCGGGTCCCTGCTGCCGGGCCCCTTCTCACCTGGGAGACGATGCTGCTGACTGCTGCTGATGGCGAAGCTGCTTTGGTGGAGCTGATGCGGGCGCTGGTGGGGCTGGTGGTGCCGGTGGTCGTGGCGGCGGGGGGGCTGGAAACGATGCTGCTGCTCGGGATGGAAAGTGAAGTGATGTCCGTCGCCAAACAGCGGCACCCCGACCACGGCGGAGCTGTCAAAGCGCGACTTGCCCGCCGAGCGGCGGCTCTGGAGGGGCTTCAGGGTGCTGTACGGACCCCGGGGCTGCCGGCACATCTTCGGGGCGCACGGCCCCTCGTCGGCGGGCTGCATCTCTCCCTCCATCCCGGGCCAGGTGTCACAGCGCGGCGGACGGAGCTCCGGGGTCGGTATCGCGGCGTGTTGGTTTTGACACGCCGGTGGGTGGGGGGGGGGGATCGGATCCGTCACTGTGTCTGGCGCGGTCCCCCCCCACACACACACCCTCCCCTCGCACACAGCAAGTGGAGGGTGGGCTCACTTACTGACAAGCCGCCGCTCCAATCCCCGGTCGGGAGCGCCGACACGGAGACCCCCCCCTGCCCCCCGGAGACAAACGCAGGCGGGACTTGTGCTCCTTTGTAGCCGCCATCCACACAGAGGACAACACGCCGCGATGGCATTTCTGTTTGGAAATGAAGAAAAAAAAAGAAATCCTGCAAATGAAAAGGCAGAGGCCATTTTGCTACAGAGCTGCGAGCAGAAACAGACACGAATGCAAATGAAAGAAAAGACCATGTCTTCAAATTAGCAGATGATCACAATTTATTTCGGTTGCTTTTTCTAAATATTTAACTGTATAGCTACATGTGTAACGATGCATCTGAATAAATTGCTAAAAAAGGGGGGAGTCTTTTGGACTGAAATTCCTCAGAATATTGTATTCTTTGGATCCTTAATGAAGTTTTTTTTTTGAAGTAATGAAAAGGCCAAACGTCTGCCATTCAAATGTGAATTGTCCTGTTCATGTTTGAAATCCTTTTGGCTCAGCAGCTGTTTGTGGCCTGCAGGCCTAAAAGTTTGCAGCAACACGGGGGGGCGCCACACCAAAATATTACAAAGGTGGCTATAGGTTCAGGGAGTGATGTGAACAAAGTGTAATCTGTAATCATACCACTTACGTCATGTTTGTAGAACGACAACGTGGCATCTGAATTTAATGTCAAAGTATTTGAATTTTCTTGCATAGATCATTCCGCTATGATATGCATTTGCGTGCAGAGCTCGTGCGCTGCTCAACAGGCTTCAAACGTCGTTTGTTTGGTTTGATTTGTTTATTTTGACTAAATCTCTTCTTTAAAAAATAAGTTAGATAAGATGCTTATGTTCACCTGCAGCACCTGCACGGACAAGTACTATAAAAAACACCCGATAAAGAAAAGGCTTGACTAGATCAATCTTAAAGATAAATGCTTTTAAAACAAGTAACAATTGTAGCAACGAAATCCACAAACTGACCCAACGTCAGATTCAGAGCGAGATCTCTAATGTTTAAACTTTTAGTTACACCAGTCTGGACAGAGCAGGTTAAGGTGTTTATTTCTGTTGTGGTTCGTGTTTGTTACTCCATAGAAACCTCATTCAGTCCGAATGATCATCACACAACCCGCAGGGGGATCTGCCCTCCCGCAACAAGCTCTCAAAGATCATTTCTGCATCTCGCTTGAGGCACCTTCATGGTAATCGACCCCGCTGCGACCACTACCGTCACGCGGACGCGCACGTACGGTTAATGGGAGCTACGTGCGCTCGTGCACAGCCGGAGTGACAAAAGCAGCGGGTCCCCGGTGAGGTGGGCGCACAACTTCTGCACCCACAGCGACGAAACGTCCTCGGGAGCCCGCCGCGGTTCGTTCGGGTTCCCTGCAGAGAAAAAGCTTCCATCAAAAGGATTTTTGCCCGCAGTGCAACTTGGGAACTTTTGGCTCAGAAAAAGGGGGTTCGGGTGGTTGGAAAGATGACGGTGACATAAGTTTTCCTCTCTCGGACCGCCGCGCTTTCCTCCTCCTCTGATCCCGGAAAAGCGGCTCGACTCGGCGGCCCGCGGAGCCTGACGCGCCGTCAGCCGGGACGCGGCGGCACCGCGACCCGCGGGCGGCTCGCCGGGATGGCGCGCCTGCTGAACTGCCTGCTGCTGGGATACCTCACCTGGAACCTGCGGATCTCGGACGCGCAGGGGGAGTACTGCCACGGCTGGCTGGACGCTAATGGGAACTATCACGACGGCTTCCAGTGTCCCGAGGACTTTGACACCGCGGACGCCACCGTGTGCTGCGGAACCTGCTCGCTGCGCTACTGCTGCGCCGCCGCGGACGCGCGCCTGGACCAGGGCGGCTGCACCAACGACCGGGAGGTGGACGACGCGGAGTTCGCAGCGCGTAAGTTTTTTTTGTTTTGGTGGCTCGGTGACTTTGGGTTAGAGTCGGAGAACACTTCATCAAATGAGTTCACTTGTTTACAAACAGGAAAAAGGCAACAACAGCAAAACAATCAGTATCATTCCAGTCTTAAATAAAGTGGAAGGAGAATAAAGTAAACAAGAATAATACTATTGGGTAGGTGGGAGTTGTTTTATGAAGCGTTGCGTTCCACAGAGGTCAGCTGAAGCGCCCCAATGAGGACTAAATAATGTTTTCAGTGTCCTGCTGTCTTATGAAAGGACAAGAAGTGCAATGCGATACTAAATGATTGGTTCGTTCACTCAAACAAGACACCAACAAATATCTGTTCTTTGGAAAAACAGGATCATCATTTGTGTTCAACACAACGCGTTGAGGAAAACATGTTAGTGTGCTGCTGAATTGTGACATTTATACTTATTTAAACTGTTTTACATTTCCAGTCACTGTGTTTGACGGTTTTTATGTAATTCCAGCATTTATTGAGCGAAGTGTAGAGGTTTCTGGCACCGTTTGTACCTCAGCTCCTGTGGCTTCATTTGGCCTGAATTCAAATTATATCTGTGCAAAATAAAACTGGGACTTTAACGAACTCAGTCAGTCACTCAACAAATGTTCTTCAGACTTACTTACTCTTCAGACAAATCTTTGAGCAGAAGTTAACCGCAACACTTGAAAAACATTATAAGCTGGATCAGAAGGCAGGAATGTGTTCACCGGCTTTTTGTGCTGCCAAACAAAAAATGTAATCTGACTTTGCCAACCAGATAATCACAACTTAAGACAGCAATAACCGATTTAACTTTGGGCCCCTTGAAGGCCTAAAAGTGTTACATTAACCCTCCTGTGCTGCAAAACCTTCAATAAAAGGTCACTTTAACCCTCAACGCGCTTGTTTTTCCTTCTAAAGTTTTCTTTAAATTTCCCAAACCGATAAGCAACTTAGCTGAATGGACTGTGTGCTCACAATTTCCTAATTTGTTCCTGTCAAAATAAATAAACATTATCTGATTTCCTCTCAAAGGGCTTCAGAGAGCGTAACCGGAGCCCTTTGTTTTCCAACAGGAATGTGACCGTTTTGTTTTGTTAATACTAATAAAGAGCTTTCAACGTATAACTTTATTAAATGATGTTAAGTGCCCCAATTTAAGTTTCCACAAACCGTGTAGGATATAAGTTGCAAGTCACCAACAAGGTTAAACTTGTCTAACTTCTTTAAAAACCCACTATAATTTAGTGGCAAGCATACAAGTGTTTTCAATGTATTTGAACAACTGGAACTCCTCCTGTGAGCATAAGTGGTGACTGCTGTTTAGAGGAAAATGTAGTAAAACCGCTGTAATCATATAAAACAGGTCATAAAACATTTACTAAGTGTTTTATAGCACTTACATGTTACATAGTGGAGTTAAATGAATAATCATGTGTAATATCTTTGAGTTCCTTGGTCTCCAGGGAAACCGAAACGCACTATTTACTACGGTAAATGTTTTCCCCAAACGGATGCATATTAACAACCTGCAGCTTTGGTCACATGAAGCCGATTCCTCCCCATTGATCCCTCTTGCCTGTGCTTCCCCCCCAGAGCCCATCTATGTGCCCTTCCTAATGGTGGGGAGCATCTTCGTCGCCTTCGTCGTGGTCGGCTCCCTGGTGGCCGTCTACTGCTGCACCTGCCTGCGGCCTAAGCAGCCGACCCAGCAGCCCATTCGCTTCTCTCTGCGCAGCTGCCAGGGCGAGACCATCCCCATGATCCTCACCTCCGCCCCCCCGAGCCTGCGCGCCCCGTCGCGTCAGTCCAGCACGGCCACCACCAGCTCCAGCTCGGCCGGAGGCGGCAGCTCCATGCGGAGGTTCTCCCTCGGAGGTCCGGGGGGGCAGCAGCAGCAGCAGCATGGCTGCCTGGTGTCCGCCGCCGCCGTGTCCTCGTCGGCGTCCAGCCCGACGCAAACCCCTCAGACACTGCCTCCGCCCCCCCCTCCCTACACATCCCCACCGGCGGCCATGTCGGGGGGCATGCATCACCAGCTGCCCTCCACCCACACCCAGCTGCAGCTCCACCAGCCCCCCCAGAGCTTCCTCCTGCCACAGCAGTACTTCTTCCCCCTGCAGCCGGACGCCTTCTCGGCGGCCAAGGGCTTCGCCGACTTCGGACAGAGCTGACACGGCCCCCGGCAGGGATTACAAGATCCGTTGGTTTGGTTTTTTTAGCTGGTTGGATGGGTAAGGGTGGTTGATGCTGCAACATGGCGGCTGGTGTCCGGGTAGAAAGGACGTGCCCTCCTGACCGGACACAGAGCCCGGCGGAAGGCCGAGGACAAAAATCCGCAAAACCTCCACACCCTGAGCCCTCACCCCCCCCCCCCCCACCTCACAGGACACTTCAGTTCAACAGAGGCAGCAACTGTGTATCTTTTGCACTCTTCTCTTAAATTGTAAACAGCCCTCGCATTGTATTTTTATTAAAGTTGTCTTTCAAGACGGCGGCTCACGAGAGACTAATCCAACTTTCCTCTGAAAACTGAAATACTTTTAAAGGCACCAACGCCGTCAGATCGGAGCAACATTACAAATGGACGTTGGAAACCAGGGAAATTATGTGGGTTTTTAGGACAATCGCAAGTACCTCTGAAAGAGGGGTGGATCTGATTTACAAAGGGCAGGAGATTGTGGACTTTTTCTAAAATGTTGTGCATGCATGCATTGTACCCAGAGCAGGGTTTGTCGCAGCGAATAAAACGCCGTCTCTCTCTGTACCTTCTGCGCGCTAATGTGAGGTCTGCTGAACTCGATGCGTGTGCTCTGAGCGAAGCCTCGTCCTCGCTCAGACGAAACCGGAGCGGTCGGGCCTCCACAGCAGTTTGCTACCTGTCGCTCATTCCCGCGCCAGACTTCACAGCAGGAATGCAGCGATGAGATCCGTCATTGTTAGTGTTCAACAAGCATGGCGCGGTCACAGTGTTAAAAACAACTCGCCCCAGATATAGAGGTTTAGGTTGCACCGACAGGTATCGCAAAAAACCTCGACAAAGGCTCGCCTGTTCTCCAGTTATCGGAGTGTGAAATAGATTTGGCGTCTGGTGAAAGCTGCAAACGGTTCGACGGACGGTTCCGTCACAAGGTGCCGGTTCCGCTATCGACTTCCTCCCGGCTTCTTTGTTTCCAGGTTGGAGTCCTGATTATTGCTGCTCACACCGAAGGCTTTTAGCAAAATCAAACCCTTTATTCGTGCAAAGCCTCTTAAAAAAAATGTAATTTGAGTCACAGTGAGCAATAAAACCCTAGTTTTTTTGTTATTGGAGGCGAATTTTTTAGGAATCCAATAAGAATAAGCAGCGGTGATCACATTGTTCCTCCATGGTTTGTAAAGTTTATTTCAGTAGTCCTTCATGGCAGGAAAAGACAACACTTATAAGTTTGCAGTCCCATGCAGAACAATCATCGAACAAAATGACAAGAAACAGATTAAAAAAGTTAAAAGGTGCAGTTTGTTTTTCTTTTGTAAAGTGATGGACACACGCGGGAGAATCAAAGTAGAACAGTTAAACATTTCAGAGAACAGTTTGTTATCCATCCATGCAGCCCACCACAGACAACGTGTGTTTTATGTTTTCTGGAAAAAGAAAGCTACAGTCTACGTCCACATTCAGCGGCTTGGAAACTTTAGACAAGGTGACGTCAGAGTTTTTACACTAAAAGACCGGCAGAGAAATAGATTCGTTAACCCTCAATCAAGAGCTCTTCCTGTGAAGCAGAGGAACACTGCATGTTACAAACATTTACACTGAAACCAGATATCCACTACTGGAAAGGTACGCGGAGCGCATTGTGCAACATCTCCTGTCGAAGCGGGCGGAGCATCAGAAACTCTCACAGTCGAGGTCGACAGTTTGATCACATACACACAGTCACCGTGCACACAAACACACACACACACACGGGCCATGCGTCAGCACACAGCAGTACAACAAAGCTATACCTGGAGTCGTGAAGATGGACAACTGGAGCAAGCCACACACACACACATTCTCTCTTACACACGAGATACGAGACAAACTCCCACATGGAGGACGCAGCCATGCAACGCGTACAGAGAAGTTATCCACAGTCGAGGTGACGCGCATGTGCACACAGGCAAGAAACTGACAGATTCACACACACCGATCTGATCTCCCATAGGGAGAAGAAAGCAATCACACAGACATTAATAGTCAATTATAAATAAATCAAGCTGTAACAATATTAATATTACTTATAACAAGACATTTAAGAGCTCAGCTTTCCCCTTCCGTCTATTCAATCCTGCCAGTTCATCAGAGGAAGAAAAACAACTAAAAGTTACAGACAGTTACAGTTCATTACAAAGCCAGTTAATGCAAAATTCATACATCTCCAATATAAAAATACAAATTCACAAAATAACTATAGAGACAAAGTAGTTTTGATATTGTCGTGGAGTTTCCCTGGCTAAATATTTCTCTCCCCCTTAAGCTAATGGCACTTACGTTAGAAGGATAAAATCTCCATTTTAAGGGAAACACTCACCACTGTGAGCTCAAACAAGACCATCGAGGAGCCTCCTGTTTACCTCTGCAGGAACAAATCTAAGTTTATACTCGTGCCGCAAGGCACTCTGTAGTTTTCACATTGTACGAGTGCAAGACTGTGGTGGGGGGACAGTGACTTTGTATTCAGTTAGAGAGTGTGTGTGTGTGTGTGTGTGTGTGTGTGTGTGTGCGTGCACTGGTCTAAGCAAGCTGGCTAAACTATTCTTGGCGATCTTCTTCGTCTATGAGGGAAAGGTTCTACGTAGGCACCGTTGTGATTGTTGAGACAGGAGTGATGTGCGGAATGCAATTATTTGTCGCAAGCAATGCTTCTGCTGTAAAAAAGGGTGGAAACGGGACTACGGTGTGTTGCAGGAGGCAACAAAGAGGAAAAACAAAGAAAGAAAAACCAGGCACGATATCAACATACTTTTCAAAACGTGAGAATAAAAAAAGGAAAGAAATGTGTTTTGAGGAGAAACAAGGACGAAGGCATGAGCAAATGTAAGGCCTTACACGATAGATGCTTCCTCCAGTGCAAAAAGAAAATGTTACAATGTCCGCTCTGAAGTGGTCCGCTTAGTGTTGGAATTCACTCAGGAGTGTGATTACATTTGGTTTACAGTTTATCAGACTTCACTAGCACTTGGAAGATTGTATACGCGACTGCTCTTTGGCAATCTTTCACAAGTTCGAGTCCTCTGAAAACTAATCGCCGTCCGGTATTTGCAATTCTATAACAACAGCGTTTTGGGAGCGTGATTTTTATACAACTGAAGGATTTCCAATAGAGACGAGACGTACGCTCCAACAAACTGAGCAGGAACAGTGAAGAACTTCAGACCACAGACGGCTGAGAAAGCACAGTGCTCGTCGTGTCTGCTGGACACACAACTGCAGCCAATAGTGAACACAACGTGTACCGTTCCTTGTTTTTGTTTTTTTCTTCTTCTCCCTTTTTCAAAGACACTCTTCTGTCCATTTCTTATTAATGTCCGACCTAATCCCCTCAGTGCTAGAGGCACGCGGTCGCACCTCCCCCCCCCCCCCCCCCCATAACCCCTGGTGAGCTTCAAATATCGCCAGGAAAAGCGGGTCTTGGGGCTCCCAATGGGCCGACCGGAGGGCCGGGGGTTTCTCACTCGTTGGTCCTCTGCTTGGTGGTGTCGTACGCTCTGATGACATCAGACTGGGACACCACCCCGTTCTCGTCTTGAGAGAAGGCGTAGCCATCTGAAGAAAAAAAGGTTGAAGCAGTTAAAAGTAGGAACATCGGTGGTTTGTGTAATAAAAAGTAATCATAAACATAAAACACACAACACAGTAAAATGACTGAAACAAAACAAAAAACTAAGATTCAAAGCGATTGTGTACTATTTTGGAAGCTTTTTTGCTGAGAAGACAAATACTACTACTCTGGAAGTCCTTTAGCTTAGCGTAGCACACAGACGGGAAAATAGCTCTTTATTATATTGGTGTTGTAATCGAGTCAGAACAAGAATTTACAACACCAATATTTAAAAACTGTCAGTATTTAACAATTATCACTGCTCTGACGTAGTTTCCAAAACCCTTAAAGATCTCGACCATCTGGATGAAGAAAAATCTTTTAACCTGCTTCCAAAGTTTCAAAAGCTTCCCGATTCATTTTTTTTAAATGCTCATAACAATCGACAAACAAAATGAACTTCTAAGAGAAATGCCGACTCAAGTGAAGTCACCAGGTATAGTTTCAAATGTAGCACAAGCAGTAGAAATGTATCATCTAATTATCAGGAAGAAATCAAATAAGAACATTCCCTCTATTCTTTAAAATGAGTCGGATGAAAATATCACCCTCACAGCTCCCCCCAAAATCGTGACATGTACAACAGCAGCTCCGCGATCTACCACGTTAACGTTTTTACAGGGCTCCGCTATGACCTCCGACCCCTGACTCACCTTCAGGTGTCAAATGACTCGCTCACTACCTGGAGGCCAGCGGGGAAGCTCAAAGGACCCCGCTGAGACGAGTGCATTGTGGGGGAATGACAGCGCGACATTTCATCGTTATCTCGCTCTACTGATCTCAACTCAGGACACACGAGGCACACGAGAGGGAGGACAGGAAGTCAACAACCAGGACAAAGAGAGGCGACTATCGGGGAGCTAGCGGACGCAGGACTTTTTAAAAACGGGCTGAGGTTTGAATGAGGAAATTAAAAAAAAAAGGTATCACACAACAACGGTCTCATCCCCACCTATGAGACAAACAAAAAACAATAGTGATCAGACAGGACAGAAACAAAAGAGAAAAATGATGAACAGAACACCAAACCCATGCTTAAAGTATCAGTGGAAAGGATACGAAAGCTTTGATACACGAGTATACACTTGGTATAAAGTACTTCCCTTTAACTTTAAAAAAAAAGAGACATTGAAGTCGTTTTGCAGCTAATCAAACTTAAAGCTGAATATTTACCTGCAAAAACGTTGATGATTTAAATGAAGTAATTTATGTATAATGGTGCATCATCAAACATGTTAAAGACACTTCAGTGTTCCACGTTATTGTCAAGAAAAAACAGATGTATTTGAAAAAACAACAAAGGAATTTGAACAAAATGGGATTTATATTGAGACAAAACAATAAAAGACGAGATTCTAACAAATTCTTAACTGCCTAACTTTAAGTAGTCGTTTTTTTCAGAACTTTCCAGATAAAAAGAAGTATAAGTAACAGTATTTTCAAACTGTATGTATCTACA